TTTATTTGTTGCTTTGGCATTTCTGTTCCGCTATTTTCAACTGTACTCTTCACATCATTGTTTAGACCATCTAATTTGCATTTCAAAAGCGACCTTATAAGTACACACATACATTTGTATATATGTACACAGGTCAACACGCTCAATGCTTGCCTGGTTTATGGATTAAAAATAAAAGCCAAAGTAGGTTGCTCTCAGTTCATTCACTTCTCCATATATGCAGCTGAAACAGTTATAATCACGTTCATCTATGTATACTTATATGTCTGTATGTACGAGTATTACGTTTTGACTGCTGAACTTCATTAACAATAGTTAAAAAGAGCTCTTATATTTACATACATATATGCAAATATTGATCCAAAGGGTGTTTTTTTTAGAAAAGTGATTTTCCAAAAAAATGAAACGCTTATAAATTAAAGCAATGACCAGAAATTTAGCTTTATTATTCAAGGAATAAATTTCAACCGACTGTTTGGAGCGGTTGGGGTCGCGTATCAGCAATAATGCGCCGAATATTCACTTCCAAGGCATCAATCGTCCCGGGCTTATCTGCGTAGAATAGCGGTTTTACATAACTCGACAAAGCATTGCCCAGAGGTGTTAAATCGCACGATCTCGGAGACCACGCCGTGTCGTTGAAACCAAAGGTCGTCCACATCAATATCCAGCAATTCAGGCACGAAAAAGCCATTAATCAGCTCCAATTCTCATTAGGGTCTTCTTCGATACTTTGCTTTGTAGGACGTCTTTGAGAATGCGCATCATATACTTCATCACAAGAAGCGTAGTGCCGAATTGCTCCATGATTGCTCGAATTACTGACTCTGTTTGGGGATTATGTTGACAGAATATTGGGCCCAATTTTTTTTCTTTGGTTATAGATTTGAACGATTTGCAGTTGTTCTTTAATAAGTCTGTTCATTACAAAACGGCAAACCGAGCTAAGCACAAATCATCATCAAATCATTGAAAACCATTTTTCTAAAAAAAACACCCTAACATATGCCGAAGTGCTCGACTGTTGATTGGATTTTTGGTTTTTGATTAGTTACTTTTTTATTGATATATAATATTCAGATGTCTCTGATGTTGTTTGCTGATTTAAGCCTTTCTTTAATGGAGTAAGAGAGAAGTAAAAAACTTTTAGTTCTTACAATAAATACTGGTTACTTGATTAGAGATAAACAGCAGACAATCAACTATTCTTCAAAATTAAAAAGAAACTAAAACTATTAAATTAATGGTTTTATGTAAATTTTATTGTAGTAAATCAGAAATTAGAATAAATAGTTTATTGTCCTGAAAGTTTTTCATGATAATAATCACAACCCATAGCATTAAAAAATTAAAATAAGTAATTCAAAACCTTTTTCAAGCTCGTCAAAGTCATTGACACCAATCAGTGAGCCGCGGGTATAGATTGAAAAGTAGTAAATTTAGACAACTGGTCTAAGTATGCTCAGAAATCGCTATTCTTATGGTACGGTTACTAAATGGCATTTTACAATCAGCGGGATTTTGAAATCACCGTACATAAAATCAATTGGGAAAATGACTTCAAATCACTTTGTAATGATTTGAGTTCTAGCTTTATTTCAATCACATACCCGCCGTCTACATAAAATTTAATTCAATTTTCTTTAGCATAGTCGAAGAAGGCGTTTCTATTTTCTTCATACAGAAAACCATGAAAAAAATTTGATGAAGATGCATCAGATCAGTACGGGTTACCTTTTTATATTTCGGGATATGGCAAGTCAAGTTTTGTCATCGGGATACTGACAACTTTGTCGTAAAGTTTGACTCTTTAAATAATATATACATATACACTCAGATGATTTTGATATACAAGCACTAGATACGAAGCTCTTTATTTCGTGAGAGCGCTCAAAAATCCGCATATTTTATAACATTTCTGAACAGTGCCACCGTGATAGAAAAATTGCTTCTTTGGATTTTTAGGTATATTTTGGATATTTTATTACAAACAACTACGTCTTTATTTAAAATTTCACGAAAATATTTCGCTGAGAAATAAACAAATATTTAATTATATTAGGTTTAATTAATAAAATTACAGTAATATTTTTAATGTTTACTACTGAAGCAAATTTCTTTTGAAACAAAAGCAATGGATTCTTTTATTGACATAGTGGTACTGGTGCGTTTTGCGCATCAGTTGTTGAATGTTCCCCGATCTGGCAATGCTGCCAACATAATGTGAATGTGATATGGGGAACGTTCTCAGCTGTAATTTGAGTAATCTTGAGTAAGTTTCGTATCTAGTCATCTTTGGTTTTGTCTACAATAACGTAAAATATTGTTCTCGACCAAAAAATGGTATTAAATCGAGAATACTTTCGTGCGAATATTTTTTACAACTTTTACTTTTCACAAATCGTCATTTGGCATATCATGAGATTGATACAACTATAACACTAGTGGGACTAGCATATATACAAACATTTCAAGAGCATTTGATCCCACACAATTTGTCAGTTGGAAAAAAAAAGCTCATGACGATTGGTCGAGAGAAATAGGAACAAATACGAGAGCGGTGGTTCCATACACGACTATGCCATCATGAAAGATGATGAATGGTGGATTTATGCGTATGAGTCCGTAAGTAAATAGCAAAGAAATCAGGTAAACCAATCCACCGAAGACGGACACATTGACTGAAAAAATCGCCTTTTTAAGCATCCGCAGCAAAACATCGATTTGATGGGTCATCCGTTTTAAAGTTAAGTCCTGAATTAGCACCGAATGATTTCTTCACTTTTGCGACGCCTCATAAAGCTGTTGGCGCGTTCAGAACGCATGTTTTGGAAATATCACAATTAAATTGTCAAAAGTGCTTCCACAATCGGTTCAAACGCACGCAAAAAACAAAAAAAGGGTTTTAATACAGAATATTTTGCGATTAAGCGATTTTTGATGATTAATATTTGCTTTTGTTCTCTAATCCTGAAATGTAAGAGGCTCTCCTTAACCGGAACACCTCTATTTTTATTGATCTGCGTTCATAAACAATTTAATTCATTAAAAAAATGTATTTGATGTTTATACGTTACCAACGGTAAATGCTTTATTGTATATCGTTAATTTTTTGTTTGTTATTTCATTTATCGACATTTCCATCCATTCTTTATCCTCAAATACCTTCTTATTCAATTAATCGAAGGCACATTCAGGTTAATGAATATTAATGTTTTAATTTTTATTTTGTTGTATTTTGAATTCGATTTCGAACTAAATAGATTTATTGAAAAATTTCTTGGTTTTATCAACTCAACTTTATTAGGGAATAAAACTAATTCTACAAATCTTTTTTACCGGTCTTTGAGTGATTTAAGTTATGATTAGAAAAAAAGGTATTAACGAGCGAATGTGAAATAAAAAAATATTTGCATAAATTCATGATTATTGCATGTATCGTTCAACAATATTTCTGCACATTTATGATTTTTTTGCTTTCTCCGCGTCATAATTTAACTTTAAATAAAACCCGTATTTCTGATTGAAACAAATTCGAGGAAAAAACATTGAGAGTTGAATGTCTCGATTGCATAAATATTCAATAAACACCTTAGTACTTTTCTTGAGTTTAACGCATTTAAATTGATCAATCGATGATAGCAGGGGAAATTTCAGACTAAATGCAATGATGTACTCGTACATACATTGTGACAGATACGAAACTTTGGAGACTAACAAGAAAAATATATAATACAACAATACAGCATTTTATAAAAATAAAAATCTCTTACAAATACAAAAGAAAAAATACAATATATATTTCCAAAAAATATTTACATGCATTCGATGTTTTGAAAATTTTGTTATTCCTAAAGGATTTTCATATACATATGTACATAGTATGTACGAGGTGTTTTCAAAAAGTATCGCGAATTTTGAATTTTCGCGGGTTACGTATAATGGAATTTCGATTTTTTTTTTTTGGCGTTATGTTGGTACTCATGTCTGTCACTTTTGCCAACAAGGTCGGCCATTTTTAATGTTCACTTAATTGTTGACAGCTGCTTTGCTTGCGCGTGTTTTGGATGGTCTTCGATTTTTACCTATTCAAAAAAATGGATCAAAGAACCTGTATCAAATTCTGTGCGAAAAATGAAATTAATTGCGCGGATGCATTCCGAATGTTGATTGTGGCATACGGATGGACCGAAGCAACGTTTATCGAAGGTACAAAATGTTCTCGAAGGCCGAGAAGATGTGAACGACGAAGAGTGTGCCGGACGCCCGAGCACTTCAACAACCGACGAAAAAATTAATTGCAGGGGTGCATCATGAGTTCTTGCCACAGGGTAGAACGGTCAATAAGGAATATTATCTGCAAGTTATGCGCAATTTACGCGAAACAATCCGCCAGAAACGCTCCTGCTCACACATCGTTGCTTGTGCGCGACTTTTTGGCCAAAACCAACACACTAATAATGCCGCAGCCACCGTATTCCCCATATCTGGCCCCCTCTGACTTTTTCTTGCTCCCTAAACTAAAGAGGCCCATGAAATTACGATGTTATGCTACGATTGACGAGATAAAGACGGCATCGAAGGAGGAGCTGAACAAGATAAAAAAATGATTTTTTGAAGTGCTTCGAAGATTGGAAAAATCATTGGCATAAGTGTATAATCTCTCATGAGGATTACTTTGAAGGGGACAAAATAGGTATTCATGAATAAATAAATAACTAACTAGCCAACCTGGGTCATTCTTTATAGGGATACCTTCATGATTTTCTCAGTTTTTGCCAACTCGCACTTTTTACTTCCTTTAATTTGGAATGGCCATATAAAAGATTTTATAGTACAACCGCTGATTTTCGGCTGAGCTCCTCCTTCCATTCATGGTATGCGTCTTTTGTGAGAAAAAGACACGGAATCATAGAAATTATTTGTTTATAATTTTAAATAAATATTTATATTTATCACATGAGTCTTGATTAAGAAATAATTCTTGTTTACATTTTCAGATAGATTTTACACAGCCAAATCGTGATCCCGTCGTTACCACCGAAATGCATCCACACCGAGAAGGCTTGTCTGCAGCACACATTTCTAGATTGCTGTCAGTATGTTTTGTGATCTGTGTGTTGTCTATTCGCAATACAAAGTGTGAGGTGTACACGGCCTTGGCGGAGATGGAAGAACTTCTTGAGACTGAGTCGGTATTAATAACCAATTTGGATGGTTACCTTAAGGTGCAACAACAAAAGTTGGACTACCTCAAAAAGTAAGTACTCGAGTACAAAGATAAATCTTTTCTACATAAAGTGTTAATTAATTGTTTAATTATCTTATAACATTTGAAAAAATTCATTACAATTAAATTGAAATTAAACGAAAACTCATTCAAATGTGTAAATTATCAAAAAAGATAATGGCATCGTTTAGTAATAGAGCGTCATTATTTAGATTCTAATAGAATGCGGTGTAATTATGATAATTATAATTTATTTAATATATGTACATAGATGTGTATTACGGCTATAAAAAGTTATTAGTGTTGGACCGTAATTGCGAAGTTGATGTTAGCGTGGTAGTGTATGAGAATACTAAAAATTTTGGGCGGACAAGTTCACGGATAAGTTCAAAAAAAATTAATTTAAGGAAATAGGGCTCCAGCATTAATGACGATATTTTGTGTAAACTACTTTCCTCAATTAGTTTTTGAAGAATAGCAGAACAGGGTTCTTTTCCATGAAAGGATCTCACATAAGAATCGATGGCAATACCAACCCTAACAGTGCCTGAATCATGTTGAAAGCAAAACAGGAAACTTTAGCAGACTTACCGCAGGGGAAGAGAATAAATACAAATATTGTACTCACTCAATTATTTCGAGAAACGAAAATACCAAAAGTATTTTGAGCACTTTTTCCTCAAATATCGCAACCTGATACTGAAATCAGATTCACCACTAAGAAACTTCGAAATAGTACAGATGATCAACTATCATGACGATGTTAATATGAAAACTAAACCTTTCGCCGCCAAGTCGAAATCGCATAAACTCACCGTTAGCGTAATTTTTAAAATGGTTGCTTGCCATGATCGTTTATCTTTTAACGATGCGACACTAAAGATAGCATTTCGTTTCGGGTAAAAACGAAATAAAACTTACGATAGCATTTCCAAATATTGCAACTCAATCGATTGAGATTTTTTGATTTACCCGAAATTTATCGTTACAATATTATGAACGATTCGGATCTTAACAAAAGCTAGAGTGACAACTGCTATTAGACATTACATACAAAGGTGTTTGTAGTTGTGTTTTATGCGTGCCTTAAGTTCAGACTTCGTATTCAAATTTACAAACGTGTGTATGTATGAAGGTTCATTTTTAAGAATATTTCCTGTTGCACATATGCAGATGTACATACGAGTATGTACGTATGTCGTTTATTGCCAATACAATTAAAACACGAAAGCAAGATTATTGAGGTCCCTTGAAGAGCGGTGAAGAGAATTGCAGACAGCTGACAGCTGTTCAAAAAGAATGAAAGAGTCCTTGTTGATCCTGTCCGTGGCTCCAAAGTACATACATACACACATATGCATACCATACATATGTTTGACTCCCTTCAATTCACTTCTCTTGTTCCTTCCTCCTTCCTCCTTCCTCCTTCCTCCTTCCTGCATCTGCAATCTTTAATAAGAGTAGTTTCTGTGAAGTGGCAGTTGTTCCTGTTTTCATGGGTTTTTTGCTGCTTTCTCATGTTGTTGTTGTTGTTGTTGTTGTAACCGTTTAAGACTAGTTTTAGCGCGTGCCCCCTGGCGCTGCCTAGACATGCATACATATGTATGTCACCTCTGCTTTGGTTTCGCTTTCAAAATGTTTTTCTTTTTGTTCGACCTTTACTTTTAACTATACACATATGTATGTACATACATTCTTAGAGCATTTTGTGTGTTTGTTGCAAGTTGCTTTGGTACGTGCCACATTTCCCCAACTGTTACCCATATTTCGGTAATCTTCTGTATGTAATACATAAAAGCGTTTTTTTTTTGTACGAGTATATTTTTGTTTCCAGTGATCTAAGAAACTACTCGGTAGATTATACTGAAAATTTGTCAGCTTACTTCCATGGTTCTTAGGAAGGTTTGACGGAAAAACAAAATTTCGTGCAGTGGACCAGAGACTAACCCATTCGAAAAAATTTATTTTATGCTTCGATTTATTTGAAAATCTGTGCATAGGTGGCTTTTTGCTTAGATTAACAGAAAGAGTACTCTTCCTTCGGATTGAAATGGCCCAGGGACCCGGATCCAAATCCGACTCTTTTGGAATGTAAATCAAACTTTCTTCACACGAAAGAGATCACCAACAGATTTTCAAAAATTATTAAGTTTTGGATGGGGCGTAGATATGTATGTTCGCTTCGCAATGTGCGACATAGCATAGATCAGAATGGTGCATTTGGCTTACCTCGAGGCTTTCGCATTAACATTTTCGTGAAAGACTTTGAGCAGCGAAGAAGTAGTCGAATCAATAAAAAAGCTTAATATCTTGAATTTAGGGGATGTTTGATCAGGATTTTATATCCTTCTGTATAATATTGATTAGTATAAAAATGGACTAAATATAAAAACCACCAGAACGTTTGGCTGGTTCTTCTGGTATTGTTAATGAAAGTAATACGGATTTTTTGAAACAATCAATGTTTATAAACTTCCAAAACACGATTTTGACATTATAAAAAATAATATAAATATACACATATGTATGTATGCACAGTACGATTGAGAAACTACCAAAATAAAATTCTCATAATATTATCCAGTCACACATGCTCATATGATAAGTCAGCGCACATGTGGTAAACTCTCTGGGCAATCACAAAGTTTAGATTTATGTAAATAAATAATGATGTGTTGGGAGTTGTCATCACCCCACTGCCTAATGTGGCATTTATTAACTTCAAGTAATTCGACACCATATCACCACAGCTGTGTGTTGGCGGCTGCGCATGCGCCTCCGCACACCGAACAAATAACCGCGCATTAGAATTACCAACCGACGACAACAAAGAGAGCGCGTGAAACGGCTATTCGAATGATTTGCCAAGAACATTGGCGTCCATATAGACATACACACTCATAATTATAAATGTACATATCTAAATTCACCCCTTAAGCAATGCGAAACACAGGGTTTGATGTACAATGAATTTTTTTTTTTTGTTTTTTTTTTTTTTTGAAGCAAAAATAGAAATTCAACACGCCTAAGCGAATTTTTTGGAACGAGGGGAAATTTTATCGAATGTTGATGCATATGTACTTACATTTGAGTACCTACAAACACATGGATATCTGTATGGACATGCGTGTAGCGNATTTTATTACTTTACTTTTTGATAATTTCGCTTGTTAGCAGCGTGTTGCTATTTTATTTATTTATGTGCTGCACAGATTTTCATATTTTTTTCAATACACACACATGTGTGAGTATGTGTGTTTGTTGGTATATGGCTACAGTGTGCACCTTTGCAGAATGTTCTGAATTTAATTTTTTTTTTGTTTTTTTTTTTTTTTTTTTTTTTTTTGAAGCAAATTTTAACGGTCGATTTTATTTCGTTTCTTTTTTGGAACGAGGGGAAATTTTATCGAATGTTGATGCATATGTACTTACATTTGAGTACCTACAAACACATGGATATCTGTATGGACATGCGTGTAGCGTTTGGCTCTTGGCTGTGTTGGTAGTTACGTTCGCGAAGTTAATAATATTTTCAAGCTACATTCATATATACATATGTACATATGTATGTATGTTCATGAAATCAAGAAATTTACAAACAAAAAGGGAATTACAGCAAGCAATGTGAGGTAAAACCAATTTTCACTGACTAAGTGTTGGTTGAAGGAATTCGCAAGACAAAATATTTGTTATCAGATTTACGTTGTATGTGTTTTTCAGACATGTGGTTTTTGAAACGAAATAAATCGCATATAATGTATTTTAGCGATTTCACATAATCCGACAAAAAATTGTCTAGCGGTGTTAAATCGCTTTGGACTTTGGAGGACACGCCAGGCGGACAGCGTGAGGTGAAACGCTTACCAAAAGTCTAATTTCATAAATTGAGTGTTTCGTTGGCGGTTGGTGTTAGCGGTATTGTTGGAACTAAAGGCCGCTCACATCAACAGCTCCCAATTCAGTGTGGTATCGAGAATTTATAGTTAAATACGTGGTGTGTTCAAAAAATATCGCAAGCTTTCTGTTTTTTCAAAAATTATTTGTTTATTCATGAATATCTATTTTGTCCCCTTCAAAGTAATCCCCATGAGATATTATACACTTATGCCAACGGTTTTTCCAATCTTCGAAGCAACTCAAAAAAAAAATTTTTTTTTCTTGTTCAGCTCCTCCTTCGATGCCGTAGCTTCTCCGTATGCCACAGTCAACATTCGGAATGCATCCGCGCACTTAATTTCGTTTTTCACACAAAATTTGATACAGGTTCTTTGATCCATTTTTTTAAATAGGTAAAAATCGAAGACCATCCATAACACGAGCAAGCAAAGCAGCTGTCAACAATTAAGTGAACATTCAAAATGGCCGACCTTGTTGGCATAAGTGACAGACATGAGTACCAACATAACGCCACAAAAAAATCGAAATTCCATTATACGTAACCCGCGAAAATTCAAAATTCGCGATACTTTTTGAACACACCTCGTACTTTAGTTGTTAACACTGTCTTAAATGGTAAATTACCTGTTTGATTATTATTAGGCCCTACGGCCCTGTGGCCCCATTATTAAGAGTTCTATTTCATAGATAGTCAAAACTTTTATCAAATTTTCATAATCATTTTAATTTAAGAAGTCCATCCAAACACATACTCGCTTTAATAATATGGAAAACTCGTTATTTTTTCAAAATTTCGTTTACATTGTACTGAGTTGACAGAAAAATGCTTTTTAAATCGCCTGCTGCGCTTGCCCAAACAAAACCTGCACATGGCGAAGCAAACGCTGAGGGTGGAAGCGCGACTGAGGGGGTCAGATCAGGGTAATTCGTATATACGAGTAAACATTTGTTGTATATAAAACCAACCCTCCACATACACACGAGTCAATGACATACATATGTATATACAAGTATGTACATACATACATACGCACATGCATGATTACAAACTGTTATGAGTAAATATCTGCAAACAAATTTATTAAAGAAATTCATTTAAATACTTGAGTGTGCTTGAATGTGTAAGTTTCTGTTGGTAGCTGCCATGAGTCGACCCTAGTCTGCTGATGTCACTGGCAACATACTTCGGCTATTTTATTTAGCTGCCGTCAGAGCGATCGTTGCTGGAGCAGATGTTTCCTATTTGGACGGCGAGTATGCGCGCGCCAAAGCAAATGCAATGGCATTGTCTACGGCGCATTGTGTGTACGATTGTAACGTCTCTTTGTATGTAAGTGCTCTTGATATGCGGCGTATCGACTCTGCCTCACAGTGTTATTCAGCTCAATTATTATTACACGGAAGGCATACACACACCGCCGCACCGCCGTACCACAACTACTGGGTATCGTGGCACGATCTAAAGAGGGGGAGCTGTGCGTCGCCGCTGTCGTTTCAGCCACACATGAGTGATTGTACACATTCACAAACGCCAAAGAGACTGAAACCGGGGTTGCAATTTGTGGCTTCTACATTTGGCAGTTGGTCTTCCGAATTTACCGACAGCCGTCCTCCGACTTCAGCAGTTGCGAAGCAGTAGTCGCCGCGAGTGGAAGTAATAATTTTGAAAAGGAAGTGTTAAGCGGATATAAGAAAAGTGCAAGCGGAAAAAGTGTGAGAAACTTTAAGAAGGCTTAGTAAGCCGAATGGTTGTGCGAATCTTAAGAACGAAATTAAAAATACACAAAACTTTTAAAACAAAAAATAAAAAATAAACGATTGAGAATAAGAAACCGATCTAACTGTATCGCAACTATTGACGGATCTAAGAATTTAACCAAGTGACCTTGTTAAACACAAAATGTCGAAACATAACTACACAAATCCGGCATTTTGTCACGGCAGTGAATTCTTTCCTTCGCGCGGCGGGATAGAATCGGATTCGGTTCAACAGCCCGTTGAAGCAATCTACAACCGTAGTTTAAATATTTCTTATGGCGGACATGCTACTCAAACGAGCTCACGCGTTGGTCCCCTCCGTCTTCAGCGAAGCATGTCGACGCGTTCGGTTAACACGCAGAAACGTCAGAGGATCACAGCGACACCTGAAGTTCACATCAATCGACCACAAAATTCATACCAGCAACAGCAGCAGCAGCGTCAGCTGAAAAATGTTCCACAACAAAACGTCTTTGTGCGTCCAAAACACGCCAATGCCATCACCGAACCAACAAATAGTGAAACTCGTTCTAAATGCGGTCGCTATGCACTCGTGCCGTTAGAAGATCTACCACCAGTTTCTGGTAGCAAAAGCCGGTACGCTATAGTGCCGGGTCCCATGGAAACTTTAAACACTATGCGTCGATACGCTAAGTCTCAGGATAATCTTGATTGCTACAGCTCCGATGGACGGTTGTATAGCGATGAAGAACCCGCTTCTTTTCACGAGGAACCCAACTCGTTTCATGGCCAAACCTCTGAGACATTCATGAGCCTACCACCGGTCTTTGAGCGTGGTGGCTGTATGCAACCGATCACAAAACAGCAACAACAACCAGTGTCGCCTAAGATTAAACATGCTTTCTCTAGCGATTTTGGTAGTAAAACATTTCTAATTGTGGATAAGAATAGTAATCAACGCTATCAAATGGTGCCCACAGCCGAGAATGAGGAATTGGTGGATGACAATCAGGAGATCATACAAATGCACAATGGACGTGCCCATCGCTATGCGGTCATACCGACCGAAGAAGAAGATGAGGTCCTCATGACGCAAGATGAAGAGGAGGAGACGTGCCTGAGCAACCAAGACTTCAATCGAAGTGAAAATTTCTTTATCAGTAATACTATGGAGACGCCTAGAAATACAACGCTACGAACATCGACGCCACAGAAACCAGCGTGCTCATCACAACAACTGCGTGGCAACACTTCCTATCCCAGCACACCTTTGAAGAATCCAGCAGCTACTAAAAAGCTGCACGAGTTGCTTTCCACACCTCGCAAGACGCCGCTGCCTCGAAATGTCACACCACGCAACTTGTCGCCCATGGAACGGTTACCAGAGTGTCAACAGCAAGAGCGGGAACAACAACGTACAAAATATCAATACCACAGTCAACAGCAATTATACTATACACCAGGTGATCGACGTTCGACCGAGCGCACCACCCAAAGTCTACATTATGAGTCGGTGAAAACGCAGGGCGATCGCACGATGGCGGTCATAACACCGCGGATCACTGCAAACCAGACTTCTAAGGTATACCCAGAAGTGGAGGAAGAGGACTGCAGCAGCATTCACGGAAAGTCCAACAACACCACCACACCCTACCCACAAAAGGTAGCCAATGCAGCCATCACACTAGCCATCGTTTCGCTCATGATGGTGATCAGCAACACGATGAATTCAGCACTCATTATCTATATGATAGCGCATGTAAGAATTGCTTTAAACCGACTTTATCTTAAACTCTTCTTAATAAATGTTTATCTGTACCCTCTGCACATTTCTACAGTTTGGAAAGTCCTTTTACCTGCAATACAGTTTAGTGGCTGCCTTCTGTGCTGTCGGTCTTGGATTCCTCGGCTTTCGATCACGACATTGCGAATGGTTGCCAAATCGTAGCTACATCTCCGGTTATATTCTGCTGACCGTCTTCAGCTTGATCAAATGCTGCGGTCTCGTTGTTATCCTGGTATTGGATCCTTACCCAGGACTACCGCTGCATGACGTCACCACGGGCATCATTCTCGGCCTCTCCACTTTCACGATTTTCTTCATCGGCTTGGGGGTGATCGGATCGCTCTGGTGCTACAGACCGCCGCCAGATAATCGGGTTAATGTGGCTTAACGATTTTATCACAACAAAAGACAATTTACAATTTGGTTGAGAATTGTAATGAAAGCAAAATGAAAATAATGAAAAAAAAAATTGAAAATGTATTAAATAATTTGTCAAATTTACTTACTTATTTAAATTTATTTGTGCATTAGGTTTATATCTGTAGCGGTTGTTATTAGTTTCTAATTTAGTTTTTATTGTAATTCAAAAAAAGCACGGCTAAATCACCAAAAATAAGTAGAACAAGTGTTCGAAAAAAGACTGTAAATAGAAAAGTTTTGAAGAGATAAAGAGGCACACACAAACCAGTTTTATAAAAAATATTTTATACATAGACGTACATACATATACGAGTATAGAAATTTACACAAATTCTTGTATAAATAAATATTTATTATTGGTTGTAATTGGGTTAGTTTTAGCGAGTACGAGTTAATTTAGCTGATAAGGATTACATATATATATAGGATTATTCCTCGTTAATAATGGATAAGAAAACTGTTTTGAAATTATTAGTTTTGTATTCATTGTATTCTCTAGAAAAAATGAAATGAAAAATAAAGATGTTCGAGTTCAAATGTATGGATCAATTTGGCTTTTTTCACTGTAATAATGTACATTTTAACGACCGCAATAGCCGATTGGTTAGCATTGCGTACTAACATTCGGAAGGATAGAGTTCGGGTCCTGGTTCGACCAACATTTTAAATTATAGAAAATTAATTTTTTCACCCTCGGTAGGAAAGCTAACCGAAACGCCTATTATGTCGGCCGAAAATCGCTTCAGCAATCATAAAGCGCCAACTTTAATTATATTCGGCCTTATGCTGCGTATCGTCATCGTCGCTTTGGTAAACCGTTAAAACATCATTGTCAACAGTACCATCGTCAGCGTTATCGCCATCGTTTTACGGACGATCCTTCAACGTATCACGCAATGCATATATTAAAGCGGCTAACCACAAGCCCTCAGTTTGAGTTTCGTATAGCAGAATTGGTAAATAAGCCACATTCAGCTAGAGATTTCCAAAAAAGCGTTATCCTACACAATTTAAAAGAGAAGTGGAAGGTTTTAGTCACAAAAATGAATGGCTAAGGAGCGAGCACTTGACCGGGATGGCGATGAATGGTACGAAACATATTATAACATGAAAAAAATTCAAATGTGTCTTGTTTCATCATTTTAGCTACATACATACATATGAGTACATTTTTTATTTTTAAATTAAAAATGCAAAAATAATGATGAACAACAAGAAAGAGTAAAGACCAACCGTCGCAAGAACCTGTGGCAAATTCGATGGTATTCAAAGAGCAGTTAAATCCAGCTGGTCATATATTTGGTGTGAATGTTGATAACAATCAACCGTAGCGCGACATTAGCAGAAACAACACACGAACAGATTTAGAGGGAGTTCCTGAATTCTAGAACAAGGATTATTCTCGAGTAGATGTTCCATCTGTGGATGATGTGCCAATTGCCGGTACTTCGTGTAGCGCGAATTCGACAACGACCGCCACAGTCTACGATGAACATTTAAACTTTTGTTCTCTTCTTCATCGCTTGAGCTTGAAAAAAAACAACGATTAAACCTTTTTTTTATTTAAAAACCGCTTTCATTGATTTCTGCAAACTTCGCAGATGAAATATATGATTTGAATATCAAAAATATAACCATAAACTGAAAACCACAATTTCGCAAATAAATTTCCCAAAACGGAGGCACAGGGTTTCCGGGGTTTTCAATACACAACGCTACATCTAAACGAAGAGATGAAAGTGACGATGAACATTGACGATCCTCAGCGAAGACGTAGATGATATTCAGCATAAGCCCGATTATAATATACATAGTAATCGTAGCAAGTTGGCACCTTTTTTCAGTTGCTTATACAAAAAAAAATCTTCTTGAACTTAAAATTTAAAAAAATTAGATAAAATTATGATTCTCAAGCTCAACAGGTTAAATAAACGTCTTATGAGAAGTACCATATGGAATATAGAGATCTAAAATTGTTAATGGTGAATAAATTATTGGGGAGCCACTTAATTAAAAAATTTTTAAGTAGTTACATGGGCTTAATTGGTTAAAACCGTTTATTTTCAAAAAAAATTTCATACCAAAATAAAATATTTTATTCAAGCTTTTTACTGTCTTAAAGATATATGTATGTGCACTGTACGATAAACTGGAATTTGGACGAAGGAAACCAATAAGTTGTGAGAATTGGATTCTTGCAGATTTTTTTTACAATGCAATTCAAATTTTGGTAGAAATTGTTCAGTATTTAATAGCTGTTATAGCAATAGTTATAATTAAAAACTCCCTCGTCCGATTCTTCATGACTTCTATTTCGAAGACCTGCATACGTGTATATGAAATTTTACATTAAGGCCATTGAACTAAAGAGAATTTTGAAGGCTTGCAGTGGAAAGTAATATCTCAAATTGTTAATGTAATAAATTATGCAATATGGTCATCAAGCTCGAAAGAAAAGTTTAAGCAAAATAATTTTTGAAAAAAGTTTAAACTTTTATTTCAATAGACTAAAGTTGTCGAAGTTTCCACGAGAAACGTATTCTTATTATTCTTCGATTTATTTTGATGTTATATGCGATTATGCACAATGGAGCGTAAAAAATGATTTTAGATAGGAATTTCCAAAAAAATCATAAAAATTTATGAATTGAATTATTCTTTTAACAAACCAATGATTATTCAAAAAAAAAAAAACCGAATAAACTCAAAGTCGTTGTCGTCGTACATAAAAATTTTTCGGAAGAAGGTTGGAATATTTAAGTTTTTCAAATACAGCTCTGCCTAAATTCTGAATGATCTTGAAACTCCTTATAAATACGCGAATTTACTAATTTTTTTATCAACTTCTCTAGTTTAAATGTATGCAATTCACAAATCTATTTTATCCGCAGTAAACTTGGCGAATACCAAAGAGAACATGAAGATGCAACCGCAGATATGCCGGCCTACGTATCCAATCCTATTAATGCATATTTGCTAACAAAACGATTGACCACCGATTGGCGCCAGGTGGAGAATTTAATGGCGCATGATGTGGGAGTTGGTAGGTTTTCCGCTTCATTATCTCGAGAAATTCAATAATTACCTGCTGATGTATATATGTAAATGACTGTTATCTCGTCAGAATTCCTCAATAACATTACCAACTACCGGCATGTAATGAAATTCCCATCAGATGAAGACCTGAATGGAGCAGCAGTGGCCTTAATGCGATTACAGGACACTTACAAGCTGGACACCTCAAGTGTGGCACGTGGAATGCTCAATGGCATACAGTATAGGTAAGAGTGTAATATTCTCCTACATACATACATACATACGTATGTGAAACAGACAACTGGATTCATAGAAAATGCATTCTTTTTAGCACGGAAATGTCCTCAGATGACTGTTTTGAGTTGGGTCGGCAATCTTATGTTAATCACGACTATTACCATACAGTTCTGTGGATGAATGAGGCAATGACCCGCCTGCAGGAGGAGCCCCAAAATCAAACGCAAAGTTTCACACGCGCAGACATTTTGGAATATTTGGCTTTTTCCACATACAAACAAGGTTAGTTGATTTTATTATGGGTTTTAAAATTCTTTAAACTCTAAACTTCGCTCTTCACTATCATTCACACACCCTGTACTTAAAGTTTTCTCATTTATGTTTCATTAAGTAGGTATTCACTGCATACTTTTAGGCATAGTTGAAAATCAGTAAATATATATAGCTCACTTTGAACTTTTGTTGCAGGTAACGTCGAAAGGGCTCTTACAATGACTAACGAACTTTTGGAATTAACGCCCGACCACGAACGTGCTCGAGGAAATAAGGTGTTCTATGAAAAGGAGATAGCTGAACTTCAAGCTGAGCGCAAAGTGAAAGGTGACGATGGAAGCGAGAGCACACCAGTGTCAGATTTAGTAAGTTCATCCAATTTAGTTAGTCCATTCGTGTAAATATCTCTAGATTCCTTGCAGCCGATTGCCAAGGGTGACCCCAGTATATATACCTTTAACGAGCGTAAATCATATGAAATGTTGTGTCGCGGCGAGCTGAAGCCTACCCCGGCCGATTTGCGACCCATGCGCTGTCGCTATGTCCACAATAATGTACCCTTCCGACGATTGGCGCCGCTCAAACTCGAAGAAGCCTATCTGGATCCATATATTGTTATCTATCATGATGTCATGTATGATAATGAAATCGAATTGGTTAAGAAAATGGCACGCCCACGCTTCCGCCGTGCGACAGTACAAAACGCGGTTACCGGAGAATTGGAAACCGCTCATTATCGCATAAGTAAGTCAGCTTGGATACGCACGGAGGAGCATAAAATCGTTGAAAACATTGTGCAGCGCACCGAGGATATGACCGGCTTGGATATGAGCGTAGCCGAAGAATTGCAAGTTGTGAATTATGGCATCGGCGGACATTATGAACCGCATTTTGACTTCGCGAGGGTGAGTGGAAGGGACAAAAATTATTGATGAATCTCAATAATTAGTATAATTCTAAACATAAATATATGTACTTATTATAGAAAGATGAGGTCCGCGCCTTCCAGGGACTCAATACCGGTAACCGCATTGCCACTGTGTTATTTTACGTAAGTATAAATATATTCATATATACATACATATACGAGTATGTGTAAATGTTCATACACAAACATAAAATAACATATTTGGATATCCGATTTAAAAGGGTAATGAATTTGCGATCTCAGTATTTTTCATATATGCACATTGAAATTAAATGCGAAATCCTTCATTTCATTCAAAAATCAAATATTTAAAAGCAACATCAATTGATTGTCCTCACACACTTCTTCTGCATTTCTCCTACAGATGAGCGACGTAGAACAAGGAGGTGCCACAGTCTTCACTAACCTGCGCATTGCACTGTGGCCTAAGAAAGGTTCCGCTGCCTTCTGGTACAACCTGCACAAATCCGGTGAAGGTGATTTCCGAACGCGTCATGCAGCATGTCCAGTTCTTACCGGCTCCAAATGGGGTATGAAAATTTGCAATTCAGTACCAAATCAGTTAATAAAACTAATAAATAAATCTTATTCTTCTACAGTATCTAACAAATGGATACATGAACGCAATCAAGAGTTCCGTCGCCCTTGTGGCCTCGAGCCGGATCACGGTGAATTTGCAATTTAAGCCGAAAGTTACACCAAAAACACAAAGAGCTGAAAGAGAGCCGTTAACAGTTTGATTTGGACACTTCTGCTAATTTCCAACAGAGACTAGATATTACATATTTGTATTTCCTGGCAAATATTGAAATCTCGATTGTAACATATGTATGTTGGGAAACCCTGCATTTGAGCTTTATGTTTTCACATCATACTCGTATCGTATTATATTGCAATCTCAACCAAAAATTCTCTGAAACAAAGCACTTGTTAGAATATTCGAATTTAAATTTATAAATTATACACACTAGCTCATTTCATATGGAACGTTATATATATAATATTTATGTTTGCCATTTTGTAAATGCTGAAAAATTCCAGAATAGACGCTATTCGGACACCCTGTAAAATTAGTAAATTTACATACATAAGCGTTTAATTTTTAAGTAACTTTTATTTTAGTTACTTATGTATGTATATGTGTATGTATGTTTTTAGTTTTTGTATGAAATTTTATAAATTATGAATGTAAATAAAAAATAAATTAGAAATGTTTTTATTCAAATTTATTACATAAAAATAACGATGTTTCAATATTTCGCTTGTTCCCCTCTTCTCTGAAACCTATAGGGTATACATAGATGTGGGATTGTGCCGTATGTATTTATATGTGTATGTATCTACAATTTAAGATCATTTGGAAAGTCAATTCGTAGTTGCAAACTCTTTCACTCACTGCAAACATTTATTCAGTGACAGGTTCCGAAACTCAATAACAAACAATATACATCTACAGTTATGTTCTTTTTTATGGGAAAGTATCGACTAACAATATTATATTATTATTACTCTTATACATACTCGTATATAATAGGCGCTTTGTAACCGCTGAATCGATTTTCGGCCGAGCTTCTTCTCCAATTTGTTGTTTAGCGTCTTGATGTTTTTTTCCAACAAATGTAGGAACCTACAACGTATACTAAGCCGTCCCCGAACGGCTGATGGTTTTCATGAGAAACTTTATTTCATGTCAGAAATACACTCGGAGTGGTGGACATTCTCTGCCGAGTTGCGACCGCAATGAGAAATTTTAGCTTAATTTTTTTTATTTAAATTAATGTTCTATAACTTTTGAATGTTGATCATACCAGGAATGGAACCCGGGCCTTCCGAATTTGCAGCACGCAATGCTAACCGTTCGGGAATCGCGGCCGCTATTATTACTGTTATAAAGATACATAAGATACATAAGAGTTGTCTTTAAATGTATACCTTGAAGCAGCTCCGTTTGGACAACTGCACGCCCAAGTACATATGTACATATATGCATGTGCATTAAGGTGGATGAGAATGAAAAAAAAAATTAGAAAAAAACCTTAAAAAAGCAAATATAAACAAACACCCAATACACTTTTACCTGACACTTTCAGTTCGATGTTCTTAAACACCCTCAAGGAAGTTTAACTTTTGGAGATTGATTGGTGGAATTGGTGAAACAAACTTCAAAATAATCGACACAGTTGCATGTAATTATATACAACGAATATGTGTATGTGTTGATATCGAAGTGTTTAATATACCGAACCTACTCCAATGTATATATGTATGTATGTGTTAGTGAATACGCATTATAAGTATACATACATATGTACGTCTATACATTATATGTAAACTTAAGCACCTGTACAGACGTATGTATGTATGTAGTTCCCGTGTGAATGACTTTTTCTGAGACTTCCCGGATCAAGCCTACCGCAAGCGCGAGCTGAACGCTGTCATCTCATTTAACAAAGAGTGTTGAAAGCGACAAGAACAGTGATATCGAACTCCAAAGTGAAGTAAGTGAAAAAAATATGACTTGGCAATTTTCCATTTCAACTATCCGAACACGCAAATGTGGAGTCGAAATATTCAAAATACTTCACTGTGCTCTCATTCTACTCCTTATTGGTCTGTGGACGAACGAATGCCAAGCTGAATATTTCTCATCAACTGATAGCGTACAAGTTCTGGCTGTGGCCGAGAAGGACTTGCTCCAATGGTATCAAGATTTCATAGCAGCTCAGAGAGCGGATTTTTCACTCTATCGCAAGTTTGTAAACCTGATATTCTGCCGGTCGCCTGGCTCTTTCTACGAGTTCACACTGTTCAATTTGCACTTATTTCAGTTTCATAAAACAAATCAAGGAAGAGCATGAAGTGGCTACGGAGGATCCGGAATCGTTCTTTGGCAACCCCATAAATGCATTCAAGTTAATCAAACGGACTGTTGTCGATTGGGCGCGAATAACGGGATATATACAAAACCATCCACGCCTGCAAGGTGAGAGTCCATTAACAGATTACCACGTCATCCAGTCGAAAAATGTTAGCTTATTTTCTCTCCAAATTGTTTTCTCCCCCTTTGGCATTCTGATTAAGTTAAATACCTCGATTTAATTAATATAAAATCATTTGAAAATTCTCGTAAATTCTTGCAAAATTTAAATCTTCCATCTCTTTTGGGAGATTGTTCTCTTTAGTTTTGGAGAGAACACAAATCAAATAATTATATGCCTTACCCATGTATTAATCCTGTTTATATTTATTAAAAAAAAACACAAAAGCACTGAATGCCAATCTCTCGGAGTTGTCAGAGGATGTGAGTTTTCCAGGTACCGACGAGTTGCGTGGTGCCGCAAAGGGCTTGGGACGCTTACAAACCATGTATAATCTGAGCTCAATTGATTTAGCAGACGGTGTCATCAACGACATAAATTATGGGTGTGTTAAACAACATTTTCATGAAGTTTGTATAAGTCAAAACCTAAAAGTATATTTCTTTAATATTTCGCAAGCTCCGAACTCTCCATTCGCGAATGTTTTGAAATTGGCTGTAATCTTTTCGAAGCCAAGGAGTTCCCTTTAGCCCTTAGCTGGTTACAATTGGTGTTAAAGTTTTTGAGCTTTCAAGGAGCTTCAAACGATACGTCAACAAATGATTTAGAAAGCGGTGTACTTCTTGAAGAAGACAAAATATTACAAGGAAACGGCATAGATGAAGGAGAAGTAGTAGCAAAACAATTGGACCACGAGGGAGATGATGAAAATGAGTACAACTATGCAAACGAGGATCAGGATGAGGACGGCTACTATGATGAAGAGCTTGACGTAGACCATTATTACGACGAAGAAGATCTCATTTATGAAAAACGTTATGGAGTATTCGCACCATTGGTGCTGTACGACATAGACGAATTTGAAAGTAACTTAGCTATTCAAGAAGAGTTAGATGATACATTTGAAAGCAGCGGACTTGCAAATAACGCCGACATGGACTTCGACAGCGCTGTTACGGATGATGAAAATAGCGGCATAAATTTCGCGGAGAACTCTAGCTCCAATAACTTAACACGCGAAAACGATCCAGCTGTTCAGAAAATTCTACTAGAAACACTAGAATACTTGGCACTCGCTAGCTATGAGCTGGGGCAACAGGAAGCAGTAAGCGCCTACATTGATGAAATACTCAAGCTAAGTCCGGAACATGTTTTCAAAGATCTTGAAATTTATATGAAGCACAAAAAAGCTTTAAACCTAAAATATTCGGACAATTTAAGTGATTTACAGAGAAACCATTGGTACTCTAACTACACACGCCTCTGTCAGGGTAAACGAGTTCCCCAGAGAGAACTTCGCAAACTCAAATGCACTTTGGACACACAGAATCAACCGTTATTTGTACTTGCGCCACTACGAAAGGAAATATTGCACACAGATCCCGAAATTGTAATGTACCACGGACTGTTGACCGACACACATATCGACGATATACTTGACGAAGCCGAAAATGGTATGCAACGTTCGCGTGTTGGAGGCTTAACAGCGAGTTTGGTACGTGATGTACGCGTTAGCCAGCAAGCATGGCTACCTTATAATAGCACAACTATGAAATATATCTATCGCACTGTATCGGCTATCAGTGGGCTCGATTTGACTAACGCCGAAACAATGCAAGTGGCCAATTACGGCATCGGTGGGCAGTATGACCCACACTACGATTATTTTGTGCGCGAGGTAGGTGGACTGTTGGAGAAAATATGCCTGAGTTTTGAAAAAAATTTAATTTCTATTCTTATCCGTACAGGATCCGAACTCACAGTGGATCGGAAACCGTATAGCGACCCACTTATTCTTTGTATGTTGGATTGTGGTACTTATTTTTAGAAGATTTTCACAACTAACATATTTACTCTTAGACTTCGGACGTAGAGCAGGGCGGCTACACAGTGTTTCCCTATCTAAATGTTTATGCGAAACCAGTCAAAGGTTCAATGATAATGTGGTATAACCTGCACAGATCCCTAGACCGTGATCTGCGTACTTTACATGCCGGCTGTCCTGTCATCAAAGGAACCAAACGAAGTTTGTATCTCAATCAGTATTCAAAAAACAAAATAAATTTTCAGAAAAACTCATTAATTCATATTTCACTTTCGTCTTCAGTATGCAACGTCTGGGTGCATTCTGGCTACCAGGAGTTTAGGCGTCCCTGTGATGTGGTACGTGACAACTACAAATCGTCTCATTTGGGTGCATTCTGGCTACCAGGAGTTTAGGCGTCCCTGTGATGTGGTACGTGACAACTACAAATCGTCTCATTTTGGTGCATAAAAAAAAAACAAAACATTTTTAAATGTAGTTATTTTTAAGTATTTGGAGCACTTCTGTTTGTATCTCTTTTATTTCAATTTCTTTGTAAATAAACCAATTAATGTTCCCCTTTTGTATATGAAAAACTGTTTTTTATGTAAACATGTCGAAGCCAACATTCAGATATCAAGGTAAATATGTGAAATAACCCGTCATAGAAATTGTGTGTATGTAAATTCAAATAAATACTTGTGTGTATCTGTTAGTATTTACTGTTAACGCTTAAAAGAATTATTAGAATTGAATCAATTATACCTGCTAAAATAACATTCGGAAGACCAAGGTTCGAGCTTTTTTGTTATAGTTTACCGTCACTTCAGTAGCCTTACTGAAAATATAAGAGGTAAGAAAACACGCGCTGTTCCTTCTTTGGATATTTCAAAATGATGATTGTCACAACACGTTTTGATAATAAGAATGAAGCAAAGCACTGATCAAACAAATGAAGGCTCAGGTGGGTAGATTGCAGCATAATGGGGGCACTACTGCCACACCTATAGCATAAACTATACGTCCCTGCATTTGTTGAAAAAACATCATGACGCACACTACAAATTGGATTAGGAGCTCGGCCGAAAGTCACTGTTAATTAAAACATAATGGTTTAGTGACAAAATGTGCATTATCTGTGGCAGAATTTGGTTGGAAAACAAGTCTTCTTATCTTCTTACGCTCTTGACTATAAACCGTAACGCGTGACAATTTATTGGCGGCTTAAAGTTTTTATGAACTTCCCGAAGCGATTTTTCAGTAGAAGTATTGCGACTAAAGACTTTTCTTAGTCCTTTCTTCGTCTTAATGCCACATACTGTTAAATACAAGTGCCTCGTTATCAATGGCCTGCGTGGCATAGTAGTTTTTCAATACCTCCTGAGGCATGTTCTCTTCACTTCAAACCGAGCAAATGAACAAGTTAAGTGCTCGTGAATGACGATTGTAAACCCAATGAAATATATTTGTTGTATAAAAACGACAAACATAGTGGCTATATTATCCTTTTTAAATTTATCATATATTTACAAAAAAAAGGTCACACTTTCAATAAAAATCATACCAACTAATTTTGTAAATCTTATAAAATAATTTCTATTAAAACCTGAAATACAAATGTTCCCTCATTGAGCAGAACAAAAAGGACCTTCTTTGTGAAGATCTGGTGGCACATGTATAATAGAAATTTGAATTTCTAAGTTTATTAATTTAATTTATAAACTTAGTTTTAAAACCTTTTTATTTTACAAAAATAACAGTAAATATAACAAAGTTATCACACAACACAATATTTGGTTTTGAGTCTGCATAAACTGGTCTTAAAAAGAATTAACATAAATACCTTCCTTTCAATCAATACAAATGTACGCAGACTCATATTAAACTAAGTGTTTATATTCAAGCGACACCTCGTGGTCAGGTAGGAGGCCACAGGGCCGTTCACGGTCTTGATTTCGCACGCGAACCCAAATATTACCAACTGAAAATCGAAAAATCCCATTAAATACTACTTTGTATAGAGCTATCCATTTCGTGGTTTCAAAGGGCTGTAATTTGACATCTGTCAAAGTTGATTGCCAAACCAAACAAGGCTTGTCTCACTCATTTATGAAATTGAATCGCTTAATGACCGCACGATGCGTTAAAATCGTTAAAACCTACAAAGGCTTTATTGCGAGACAAATTCCCTGGCCGCGTTATCTCTCAGCTTAACAATGTCATTTGGCCACCGATATCGTGCGACTTGACACCTCCAACTTGTGGGCACTTGAAAAGCAACATACATCAATTTATGGCTGAAATACCGCCCAATAAGTGCCAAAAAGTTGTTGCGAGGCTGTCATTTTAATGAAGAAGCGTTTCAAATAGAATGCAAAGGTTCAAGCTTTATAATTTTAAGGTTTTTTTTTGAAACCGTTAAATGGATAGTCCTGTATGTACAAATTTACTCACTCCACTTGGAACCCTTTAGTACCGGACAGGCGGCGTGCCTTGTACGATAATCCGGTTCCTCCGAACGATGTAAATTGTGCCAGAAAAGTACACTACCACGCTGTGGCCTAACTAGTAAGCGAAGATACGGAAAAGCAGTGCCGCCGCCTTCAGCAACATCCGAGAGCTGCATATGTAAACGGAAGGATTTTTGTTATGAGGAAGGTGCTAACTAAACTTCATCTCTAACTTACATAAAATATGCCAGTAGCGAGACGATTCCCTTCTGATGCCTTAAATGTACAATTATCCTTAAATAAAATAAAAAGAATATGAATAAAAATCGACATAACTTCGGCACCTTAAACTCTGCCGAATACATATTTGCTTGTATCAATAAAGGTACAATAATAAATGATACGATAATCGCAATTTAGTGCTTGCGCCCAGAGAATTCTGGAAGTCGCCATGGTTTCCTCTTAATTTTACAACATGTTCACTCCATGTTACTCACCGTGAAAAAGTCGAAATGTGGCTCGTAATGACCGCCAATGCCATAGTTGGCCACCTGTAGGTGCTCTGCCGAGGCCATGTTCAAGCCCGATATATCGCCCATATGACGCTTCATTGTTTGCATGTGTTCACTTTCTTCATACGCAAACCACGCACTTTTGCTAATCCTGTAATTGGCCGTCGACGCGGCACTACCATTCAAATTTCGCACCTGAGAACGAGACATACGCGTCTGAGCTACGCGCTTCACTGCCTCGATATCGTGGGTCGAAATAACATCATGGATTTGCACAACTCTGGGATCCAAATGAAGCTCCTCTACCTTGTACGGCTGTAGCAGGCGGTGAGGCACATTATTACTATCATAGCGACAACGTAGTGGACGCTCCTCAGTGGGAGTGAGCTGTAATTCGCCTCGACAAACTTGCTCATAGCGTTTATAGTCATCGCTGAGCTAACCGAAAGAAGCAGTCATTAGGAAATAAAGCACTGAAATACGTTTTTTTGTTTAAACTCACATGGTAATCACCTCTGTTCGGTGCAATTTCATGCATCAAACCCGTCTTAACACCGTCACTGAGCATGCGCTCCAAATAGTATTTCGTATCTCGCAATTGATCGCGTTGTGCGTCAATAGATAAGATGTAATTCGTGAGCTCCAGTGCCGTATGAAAGTCGCCTGTTGGAAATAGTTGATAGTTTTGTTGTTGCTGGAATAAAGTATCTATTTTAAAGCCGATAGCACCCATACCCATTTCTTGGTGATACGTCACAACGGTCTCCATAAAATCCAGCGTCACTGCGTCTTTATCGTATTCTTCATTCTTAAGCAGTTCCATCGATTCTCTTAGCCATGGTACCGTGTGGTTGAAATCCTGTATTTCATACAAATAATGACCGAGTAAAAAACAGTCTTGCCAAGACATTGATGGACTGTACCAAGAACAGCAATATTCAGTATCAAAAAAAAATTCTTAAATGAATATACACGTACTCACCCATATTTGATGCCATTTAAAACACCACTCGCCAATTCGGCAACCTCTAGCTTATAGGTGTCCTGCAGTCGTACCAAAGCCACCGCCGAACCGATTACATCCTCCTTAGAAGGAAAATGAACTTGGCGACGATTGGCTGCCATTGCACTTAAGAAATCTTTGGAAAACGCAAACATATAAATATAAATGTAAAGTAACTAATTATTTTCATGAATTTTCGCCTACCGGTTCGGCTGCTGTCTATGCGTACAGATTCTTCAAAAGCACTCCAGTCACTTTGCAGGCGCTTAATAAGACGATACGCATTCACGGGGTTGCTGAGGTAGCCGTCGACATCATCAACGGCGGCTTGGTGGTCCAAGCGAATGGCGTCCACTTCGCTGAAGCAGAAGAAATGAAATAATAGAAGCACAATTACAAATAGAAATTTCTAAGAAACGCCTCATCTTCTGAATTGCATTGATTTAATTAGCCGAATTGTTTCAGAATCTTATCAGAAATCTCTACAACGACATTTTGAAAATGGCATCATTGAAGTTTTATATCATTTGAAAGAGATAAAGACAAAAATAAAAAAATAAAAATAAGAACTTAATTATTTTAATTAACCACTTTCGAAAATCGTGTTAAACTTCTTTTTTTTTATCGATATGATTGTTTATTAATCTTACGTACATTGTACATATATACATAATTGCACCAGAAATTATATTTTTATACCTATCATGAATGTGAAATGGTATATTAACCTCGGTCCGAAGAATGTACGTACCGGAAGGAGAAAAAATAGACCCAACAAAATTCATACCGACCGAGGCGGAAAGACGAGCTGAGTTGAAGTAGCCTTTTCGTCTGCCTTCCTGTTCGTTCGTCAGTCTGTTGAACGCAAACTAGTCACGCTGTTTTTAAGATCTATGAATAAAAACTGGCATGCAGATGAATTTTCGTAATGTATTCATCATTCGTTCGAACTGCACAGAGGGGTAGAGTATGCTTATAGCTTAACTTGTTCGGGCCTTGGGTCATAAAAACTTCAATCATCTAAGAACTTAAAAATGTGCAAGAATCGATACTAAAATTCAAGTCGGAATAACAAATCATCTTTCTTTCCTACAACCGATTTTCAGATTATTTTTCGGATATGAGATACAGGTTGAAAATCTCAAAAAGCCATCATAACATACAATACGATTGAGATATTCATGAAGGGTATAAGACTTCGACAAACCCAAAGACAAAACTTTCTTCTTGCTTTTTTATTATTCTTGCTTTAATTCAGACACTTTTTTAAACATGTTGCTTTACCAGTACAGGAGAGGGTTATATGTTGACAATTTTCGAAAAAGAAATTTTTTCAATCATTTTTAATAATTCCGGGCATAAAACAATTTTTTGCTTATACTCAAGAAATTCATTTTCAGTTATAATCTCAGAACTCTTCTTGGCAACTGTCAAATTCTAATTGTGTAAGCTAAATGGCAAGTGGAAATACGAATACCAAACGTGGTGTTCCAATTTAAAAATTAATTGTTTCGGCTAATTGGCCTGTTTGAAAATGAAAAATGAAAATAGAATACAATAAAGTTATTGAGTTGCAATTTATCTAAAAGTAAACTGGTTTCCGCGAAATTTATTGCGATGAGAATTATGTCTGGCAAAATAGTACTTATATTTTAATTATAATTGTGGAATAGTCGCCGACAAAATAAATCCAAATTTTATATTGTATTTTAAACTCTACTCGTAGTCATTTTATATTAGGTTGCTGTTTTCACAGAAAGAATAATTTGTAAGAAAATAATAAAATGATATCCAAAACACAGTAATAATAATAAAAATATCAAAACAGTAAAATCGTTGTTGGTGTTTAATATTTGTGTTTGACATAATCAGACTTTGCTTAAATAAATATATTTGAAGCATTTGAGTTTTAAGCATTTGAATCGATATCTTCAAGGAGATTTGCTGCGAACAGAGCAAAATTCCTTTGAAATATATAAATATATATCGCTGGAGCGATTTTCGGCCGATCTGCTCCTCCAATTAGTGGTTTTGCGTCTTGATGTTTTTCCAACACATGGTGGATCCTACAGTTTATACTAAGCCGCCTCCGAACGGCTGATGATTTTTATGAGGAGTCTTTATTTCATGTCAGAAATGCACTCAGAGAGATTGACATTCCCTGCCGAGGCGCGATCGCAATTAGAAAATTTTAATTAATTTTTTCTATTTAAATTCTTTTTCTATAACTGAAATGCCCAACCCATCAGCAAGCTTTCTAGTTGTCAACCGATGATTTTGGAGCAAACTAGTCCCTAAGATTTTGAGATATTCTAACCAACCTTGGTGCACAGATGCAATGGCACGATGAAACGATCTTTTGTCGGAACAGTTCAAATTTAATCACTTTAGCATGGATGCGACCGGTTTTTCAGATTTTAGATTTTGGATCATAAACAAAGGAAACGCCAAAAATTTGATATGGTCATGAAAGTTATAAAGACATTGGGCACGGCCGGAAACAGCTCTTCATTCTTGATTGTGCAGAGCCTGGTTGCCGTAAGCCTTTTTCAATATTAACAACGTTTCATTACGCAAACAAAATTCAATGATGACTCTTGTTTTCACCAATTTTAGATAAAAAAAATATGCATTGTAACCAATTATACACGAGCGATCATAGCCAAGTATTCCAATATTATTATGATCTATGACCCAACATTAATAGCAAGTCAAAAGTCAAAATTAAGCTTCTTACATTTCACGGCCGTAAGAACGAAATTACTGAAGAGATTATCAAAATAGACCATTATGGCCATTCATTTTCACTTAAGACTCGCTTGCCTTTCCAAAAATTATAATTTGATTGCCTTGCAGCTTAACGGTGAAGCATACGAAATTTCGTAGGCCTCAAATAGTGTTAAGTGTTAATATTTTATTAGCGCCAAACGAATAAAATATTCATAAGTTCAGAGGTTGTATGCCCAAAAAGAGGAAACAATATCGGCATGACTAACTGATCTATGCAAAGTCTCATTCGAGAAATATTTGCAAAGAAATATTTATTATTTGCCATTCACTTTAATGAATTCGAAAACAATTTGGAAATGAAAATAAATACAGTAAAATTCAAATGAAAAAAAGAAGAAAATAACACATTTAATGTAAGTTCAGTTCTTTATGCCCCGTAAAAAACTATCCCCTACGCCCTTTTAGCAATTCTTCGACGTCCAAAACAAACTGCGCTGCTCACAAAAAAAACCATAGAATGTTAATTAAAAATGTTAATCATCGAAGCGTAAATCCTCTATATAAGTTACGAGTATAAAAAAAAATTTAATAAAAAATATTACCTAAATGGTTATGCTTGGGTAAAAGCAAATATTTTGGACGATTAATAACAATAGAATAAATAGTCTTCGCATAATAAAAGTTTAAAAGTGTGTTTACATTGCTTCACGAAACCGGAGGAGCGTGTGTCTGTATGTTTTTTCTATATTTTTGATTAATGAGCAGTTAAACGTCACTACTTTTATGACCGATTGTGTGAAGAATCTTAATTTATTATATAAAATATATTCTGTTGAGAGGAAGAATCTTGTATTGGTTGCTCGCAGGGAATTTTTTGACATAACTATTTTTTCAAATAAGAGGCAGTCTACATACGTCTTTAAAATCATATTTTGAAAAAGCGAGCCCAGAAATATTTTAATTAATTTAAATAAAAATATGCAAAATACGGTGCGAGACCTGCATATAACAAACAAGACAATTTTTCTAGTTAAATTCTTTAAATAATGAATAATACGACTGAGAGGCAATATTATTGGCACATATTACATAAATACATATCATCCCAACTCAATTAAATAAAAACAGCAAATAAAATGAGGCGCTTACATTTGCGTGTTTCTTGGTGGTAAATCTCAGTTTTGTTTTTACGGTTAACATATCAGAATTTAAAAATAGGCGGCTGAAAAAGTTCGTGCTTTTACGATAAATAAATAAATAATTCAATTCAATTCCAAAAAATGAATAAAAAATTGAAAAAATGATCTCGTTTAAACATTAATGTCCATACTTGATACCAAAATGGACTATTGCCAATCAGAGTACCAAGGAGGGTGAACAGTAAAGCATACCGTCACCATCGTGTCTTTATACCGGTCTATCCGGATTTTCTTCAGCCAAAGACTGTCACTCGTAATATTTCCCGAAAATTAATAGTTTTAGGTTACAACAACAGCAATATTGTCAATGAGTGCTGATTGAATTGCTCTTTTCTATTCTTTACTTATTTGTACTTAAAACCTTCACTTCATAAAATATATTTACGTGTTAAAGTTTAAAAAATATTGCATTTTTGTTATCTTTAACTTCAAAAAGATGATTTGAATAGTACTCGGCTTAACGAAAAAATCGATTTAACAAATTGACCTGGCAATTTTTGTGTTCTTTAAATCGGAAAACTACTGCACGAGTATATGTCCAATTTATTGAGGAAAGAACGCACATACCCACGTATTTGGCTTCAAATTAATCACTGAAGAATAGGCGTATATTTTATCTAATATAAAAACCGCCTACGCCAATTTGACACCTTAATTAATAAACATTTCTGGTGAGCATTTCATTAATTCGATTTCAAACAAAACTTGCGCCCAAGAGCAGCAGTAAACTGTACATAAACTGTACATATGTATGTACGAGTAGAAGTGTGTACACCAGACAAAAATAAATTTCCGTATGAATTATTTCGACGAGCCACTCAATAAGTAAATTCTGATTGAAAACTTTATTGGAAAATTTGGTCATCTATCTATCTACGTACGAAATCTGTGAGCCTGTCTTCAACAATTATGACTTTCTGTGCACGAGTATGGCCGACGAAGGCACATACTGATGCAACTTCAAGATTTTAGAAATCATTGTGGTTAAATTTACAAAAGTGTTTGATATTGGGTAACTGAATGATTCTCGTGTTCATTGCCATATTTTATGGTAGTAAACACAGTAACGAAGCAAATTGCATTATTATTACAAGCGTGTGTAAGAAATACTAGTCGTTTTTTGCTAATTAAGACTAAGTGAGGGACTTTATTGTTGGGCCACACAAATGGTCTTGGCCTTCAGCGTGTAAACAAAAAGTGGCGCATAAAATGATGTTAACAGAAAATTTGAACTTGGAAACGACTTGGAAATTTTTGTAATTTTGTCTGTATTCAGTTGATTGTGTATGAAAATTTGTTTATTACATCTTTCGCAGCGAACATGTACATATGTACATACAAATGTGGAATTACTGTACGGCACTTTTAATGCCATTATATTGTGTTTGATAAAGTATCAATTCCAATATCGGGTTCTGCCTTTTACAAAATGGATTTTTTTATTCAAAACCTCATATCTGAGCAAATCGATTGAATGGGAACTATGTACACACATACGTGTATGATTTCGATGATTTTCAGCAACAAGAATATCAAATTTCACGCTCTTAGATGCTCTCTTTGACAAGTTAATGACTGAAAATCACAAATCTAAAAGATCGGTCGTATATATATATATAGTATAAAGAAAAGAAATGCAATATATTCTCATTGGATTCAAGCCTTTATTTACCATATTTAGACTCATCCGAAAATGTCATCATGCCTCTCTATTAGAAACCCTTGTCCTTTTTGGCAAACAATTGGACAATCGTTTTCCGCGGACTTCTTTCTCTTCACCACTCAAATCAATCGTCATGGGCAATTCCCTTGCTGTCAATCTCACCAAACCCACAACACAACTTCCTGGCCGTCAATCTTGGTTGGGTTGGACCCCGTTTATACCGTCTTGCTGCCCTTTGACCACGACCGTTTTCATGAAATAAAGCCCCTCATAAAAAACCATTAGCCGTTTGGAGTTGGCTTAGTATAAACTGGTCACTCCAATTGTTAGAAAAACATCAAGACGCGCAAAACCACAAATCGGAGGAGGAGCTCGGCCGAAAATTGCTTTAGCGATTACAAAGCGCCAATTATTATTATTATTAAGTGAAATGAGCAAGTACATCTTTGCACCAAGTTTGGTTGAAATGTCTCAAAAAATTACAAGCAAACGGTCAGACGGACACGGCTAAATAGAGCCATCATACTGATTCGGTCGGTATTAATTTTAGTGGATATATCTGTTCTCCTTTTGCGACCCACCTACTTTTAAGATCAATTTCATTTGAAAAAAATTCTTTGTTCTGGCATCGAATTTATTAATGAAATTAAATAGAATAAAATTAATTCATAAATACATACGAACACAACCCATAACACTTTGCAAGTAAAAACAATTAAATTCTGTGTGATGGATTATTTGGTTTTAGTTAATTGCTGTTCGGTTGTCAACATCTTGGCGAACTAGACTTGGTATGATATTTAAAAGGCAATTCAGCGAATATATTTTAATATCTTCATTCAATGCATTCAACGCATTTAAACGAACGAGCACACTCACACACGCACATACACACACATTCATATGTTCACTAATGAGTTATTGTGCTAATTATTAGGTAAAGATTTAACACCTTTTAAACAAAAAATCCATTTAACTTTATTTTAGCACACATGATAAATTTAATAAATAAACTGAATGAAGAATTGACAGTGTTAATACTACAAAAGCAAATTCAGTCTTTATCCCATCTCCCATTCAACATTTTTTTGTTTCGCATGCCAACACATTTAAACTTTTATTCTTAATTAATCACATTTTTATGCTCTTTGATCAGTTAAGTCTCATAAAAGTTGTAGTTTTTATTGGTTTGGTCCGGCAAATACGAGTATGTGAATACGATTGTTGTACATTTTCATATTTTTTGGGTTGTAAACTGAACTCGGTGACAAAAATTTGATGAATGTGATTACCTTTGGAGTAGATCAATTTGCTTTTGCATCGAATTGATGTAATTTTGCAAATCGTTCAACATCTCAAACTCGACCGTTAACAGTTTTTCCATACCCGCCACCGACGAGAAGTATTCAATGTATTCATCACCATTGGCATTCCCACAAAAGCCACTAAGGACGATAACTGTGCATAAAAAAGCCGGAAATCGGCATTTCCACTCAGCTGACATCTTTTATTCTTTCCAAATAATTGCACACATTCACTTATTAGTTTTCTTCAATTTCAAACACTTTCACTTTTCAATGCAATCTAACGGTTTAACGTTTATTACAATGTTACAACATTGATATGGACATGTGTGCAGTAAGTGTGAGGAATGTTCTTTTCAGTCTCAATTTGCGCGCTCGCTTTTCAAAACTCGCGATTTATACACTTTAACGTTCGGCAATAAACTGAACAGCAGAAATGGTCAAAGCTGTATAATAACAACAATAGTCGCCAACGCTTTACACTTTAGCTGTCATGACTGCTGCTTTGGCTTGCTTTAGGGCAACGCAGCGCTGTTAGCCGCAGCAGGGGGGCGGTAAATGAAGAGATCGTCGCTTTTGCCCTCGCCTTAACGCTCAGGTGTACTTGTACTGGCGTTTAATTATTTACTGTATTCACTGCGAGCGTTCCATAGTCCCCCTTATTCCTTATTTTTCTACACAAAGACATTCAATTTATTTTACTTATTTCTTGTTATTTTATTAAAATAAAACCTAAAATTGATTATCTGTTGAGCCTGAGTTAAATAAACTGCTCAAGAAAAGTGCCGGTGAAGCCAATTTAATGCTTGTGAAAGTTCATGGTCAATCTGCGCCGATCATGCAGATCGTGCAGGGAATCATTCTCTCAGACGCTTCAAGAGTGATAATTTTAGCGTCAAAGGCAAAACCCGCACCAGCCAACCTAAAAAGTTTGAAGATGATGAAAGGTTGGTACGTTGTATGTCCTGAGGCTTTACTCGACCAAGGTCCGTACCAAACGCAAACTTAACTCGCAGAGTCTTTAGGAGTGACTCAACAATCAACGACTTATTCTCTAAGCCCTACCAAACGATTTGAGGGGTCACCCGTTCGGGACTTTTAAAGAAATCGATGAATTCCTCAATGATCACTAATTTTCGATGGTATTTTAAATATTTTTTTTTTTGTTTTTTCTTTTACAAATTCAATGTCGCTAATTTTGTCAATAATTTTGTTTTTCAAAATCTCACTGCGCATCTTGTACAATCGAATCCAAAATATATTTTCCTTTCTATAAAGTAAAAAATAGCCAAGTTCCATTATTATATATTTTTGTGTTTTAAATCTGAACCGAAAATTGCATACAATCAGTGCTCGGACTATTAGTCAGCGTTAATAGGCAAGTCCCGTAACTTGCATTCGAAAATTATCAAAATTTTGCAGACAACAATTCGCTTTGGAGATTCATACGTTGTTTTGCATTAAATATGTTGAGTTCAATGCCTTAATTCGAATCAGACTAAATGCCTGCCGATGTATGTATGAGTATGCGCAAACATACATACGTATTTACTATGTTTAGCCGGCGAAATAAAACAAAAAATAATAAAATTTATTACAGACTTTAAAATTTGCATTTAGCATCGGCAGCATCAGCAGCATCAGCAACAACAACGCGGCTCGAAGAAATAAACAAATTAATTTCATACAAATACACATACATACATACGTAGTTATGCTAAAAAAATTAACCAAACAAAAACTCGTTCACTCATCCGTTGGCAAATAAACAGAAGAACCGAAGAAAGTGTTAGTCATGGAATAACAAGCAATAAGGTGGTTCATGTTTTCGGCTTCAAAATTTCAGTGAAAAATTGAGGTAAATGACTAAAAAAAATTTTGGATTAATTCATTACTTAACGCAGCATATGAACATACAATAACGGTAACGGTGTTTGTTGTGATTCATTTAAATTCTACTAATCAATTTTGTGCGAGGCATATACTCGTATATATACATACACGTATGTATCCTAATTGACTTCAATTCGATTTACAGTAATTTTTTTCACATCGAATGCAACAACAACACAATTCTTAGCACAAGCTGGTACGTAAATTATTGATTTCAGCTCTGGATTAGCTGGGACAACCTGTTTCAAAAGCTTGCCCATTTTTTTTTTTGCAGAATATTAACATTTAAGCCAAACATCTATATGTGTGCATACATATGTGCATATGTCCCTATAAAAATGCCAAGTGAAAATAGACGCATGCGACTAATGGCACTTTGCTTCCCTTTGCATGGACTGCACGGCCCGCTTTTGTTCGGGGATCTGCTTTGAAGAACGTAATTAATTGTATTCTCTGTTAAGTTCTTAGTCGAAACGATGTTTTTAATTATTGCAGAGCTGTTCGTGCTAATGTACAAAAAAGAAACGAAATTTTGTTTGCAAAAACTTCACCATTATTACCTAGACTTCTTTCTTGCTTTCTTTCTTTCCTCGTTAGGAATATTGATCGCCAATCGCCAATAATACGCCTTCGAGACCACTCGTAAGTAGACCGATAGAGGCTAATCACGGAATACTCTGTTTAAAGTTAGTCCCACAATTGTTTGAGGGCATACGAGTACTTTAGTGATATATGCATATGTGTGCGTGTATGTCATAAGATCCCAATACTCTTACGAAAAACAACCAAATGTCAATGGCTTGTTGTAGAAATAATTGTGGCATTTCTTATTTCAAGGTAAGTCAGTTGTAGGTTCACTCTAACGGTATTTTATATTCAAACTGTTTGAAATCAAGTATGTAATCTAATTAGCGAAAAGAGTTGTCTGATTATTTTATAAAAAGAAAGTAACCATGTTTCACAAGCGCTGAGGAAAGCATTTATTTTCTTAAATTTCAGCTGTATCTTAATTTATTTAAAATAAGAGGTATTTACTTAAATAATCTATTGTATGTATATATGCATATATAGCTATTACGCGCGCCACATATCGGTAGATAGCTACAACTCAATGCTGGTGGGGAAAGCCTAAGCACGTGCGTTCAGCTCAGAACGTAAAAAGATAAATATAAAATGCGCTCTGCATTTACGATCTCGCGAATAATGAAACATGCAAACAGAGAACGTAAATACAAATATTTACGTTCTCTGATGCAAAAGAAACAGAAGACGGTAATATATTATAAATTATTCATTAACTATTTTTATTAGTGATATACATTAGAGAAACCATTTGTTTGTATTTGGCCCGCACATCGGATATTAAGAAGGCTTATTGAACTACTCGTTATTAGTAAAGGCACCAATTAATTACCTTTGTAAAACTTTTTACGGAATTCCAGTGCTTTACCATAGTCTTCCCGTCGCACCGAAAGCACTAGAATCAAATTGAAACTCCGTTTTTATTTCCATACATACATATACTCGTATGATTAATATTTTTATTTTGATTTTTCAAGACATGTGAACGAAATTTGTTCTCTTTCTTAGGATCTGCATACAAAAGTGTATAGATTATTTATGTATATTTAAAAAATATAATGCAATTTACGCTTAAAGCAGTACAAAATATATATTTTTCACAAAAACTTCTTATGAAAATCTTTACAATTTAAGTACTATTCCTAAAATATTATAGAAACATGCATAACTATGCATCATTATAAGTTGTATTCGTAGACTTATATCCATGAATGTAGGTATGTACATATATATGTACCTAATCTAAGTACATAGGATGTTTAGGCATTTATATTTCGGCTTAAGATTTTTTCTCTAATAAGCTAACACACATATATATGAGTATATACATATGCATGTATATATGTAAGTACAAAATTCGTCTTTTGAGATTGTTAACATCCGCAGCACATTTTTCCGTTTGTAAATAATCTATGGCTAGTTACAAAAGTACAATAGTTTATCACATTAAATACTTTAATGATTGAATTGAATTGCACCGTTTACTCATTTATTCTTTTTCTTTTGTTTATAACTCTCCTGAGCTGCTTGCATCAGCATATTAGCCATCGCAAAACCTGTGTGGTCTGCTAATTGTCTTAGAAATCCGTTAGGACGCTGTAGCAGCTCAAAGGGGTGACCCAGTTCCACCATTTGCCCCGCATCCATCACCAAAACACGATCACTATCCATCACGGTGTGCAAACGGTGGGCGATAGTCAGCACTGTGCACTTGGCAAATTTGGTACGAATGGTTTTCTGTATCAACTTGTCGGTCCTGTGAATTAAAGGTTCAATATTTTAATTAACAAAATTTTCCTGTATGGATAGAAATGCATATAAATATATATACTCAGGATCAACATTAGCTGTAGCCTCGTCCAGTATAAGTATTTTATTGTTTCGGAGAATCGCACGCGCCAAACACACCAACTGCCGTTGACCAACACTGAAATTCGAGCCACCGTCGTACATGCGACATGCTATGCCGCCAATCAAAGTCGAAACGTGCGACCGCAACTCCACATCTTCTAATGCCTTCCACACTTCTGCATCGCTACGCTCTTCCATGGGATCCAAATTGTAGCGCAAAGTACCAGAAAATAACACGGGATCTTGAGGTATTATGGAAATTTTGCTTCTTAAATCGTGAAGGCCGAGGCCTTCAATGTTAACACCATCCACCATTATACTTCCTTCATTGCAGGCCAGCCGAAAGAGGGATTGTATAATGGAAGATTTTCCCGCGCCAGTACGTCCCACAATGCCGATCTTCTCCTGAGGTTCTATGAGAAAATTTAGTCCTTTCAACACATACGCGTCCTTTGGGGAATAACGCAACTTCAGATCCACAAACTCAATACGTCCTTCACTAGGCCATTCGCCTTTCGGCTTTTTCTCTGGATCCGTGTGCAGTGATGGCTCCGGTGGCTGCTGTGTGTACTCAAGAATACGTTCCACACTGGTCATATCGTTTTCTAATTCGGCCGTCTGTCGCATACCCCACTGGCACATACCAATCATCGTTATTGAATGCAATATGGCCAAGCCCACATCACCACTGTTGAATTCATTTTTTAAAACCAAGAAACTAAAAGTCACAGCAGCGATGTATAGTACACAGAGGAAATCGGACCATATCGCAAAGGCACGCGTGCAAGAGATAAACAGGAACCAGGCACAAGTGTTACTATTCATATAATCGTGAAATTCAGAGTCTAAGGCCGACTCGGCGTGTAATGCACGTATAGTGCTCAGTCCTTGAAATGTCTGATTGGTCAGGGAATATATTGGACTGCGAGCTGGAATCGGAAGAAAATAATAATTAAAATGAGGAAAAAATAGAAAAAATAAACATTTCTTCAACGCTTACTGATTGATTCTATACGCTTGACGCTGCGGCTGGTGTTAACGTAGATGTAGCGAAATAGAAAGAGAAAGGCCACAATAAATGCGGCCGGCACTAAGAGCCAATAATTTGCAACGGCAACAATAATAAGAACACCAGATACATCAATCGCGAACTGTGGGATTTAAAAAAAAAATAATAATTAGTCGTTGAATACAATTCCGCACAAAATCACAATCATCACTCACCGCAATGCAGTCTAATAATGTATGTGGCACGTCGGTATCAACCGTGCGTATGTCCTTAGCAAAACGATTCAGTATCCTTCCCGATGAGTTGACATTGAAGAAGTGCATGCTGGTGCGAGTAATGCCACGGAAAAGGCGATCGTGCAGTTTAAGCGAAATGCGAAGGCACATTCTGAAGAAGCCGAAAGTGCGCAGTATGTAGACGATCATTGTGGAGCCCAGTATGATTGCATAGAAAATAACTAGCTCCTGTCGCACTGCATCCTCATCTTGCTCAGTGAGATTCAGCGAATGGTTGCCTAACGTCTCGTGCGCCAGATGCGTAACGTTTTCGTCGACCTTTCGCAAAGGTTCGCCATTACTTATAGCCACTTTTTCCTCCCAAATTACCCTGATGTATAATAGAGCATACGAATTAATGAAACGTTCATCAATATTAAAAAAAAAATCCTCTTCTAACATTTACTTACCACCTGGATAAAAAGTAATCGACCCCAGTCAACATGAAACGGGCACATATGAAGAGACCCACGATTAAAAATAGTAATATAGGGCTTTCAAGAGCTTTGAAATACGACATATATACACTCAATTTCACGGAGCCTACAGCTTGTTGCTCCTGGTTTTCGTCCTCTACAGGCATTTCGCCCGCATTGAGTAACTGGTGATGCTCCATGCTCTTCTCCGACTCACTACGCGACATACGACTATCAACGCTAACCGCATCCGTCGAGTCGGTCGTCTCATTCTGTGACTCATATGTCGCTTGCATCAATAGAAATTTACATTTCTCATTTCTCTGCAAGTCCTGATACCTGCCTTGAGCCTCAATGCGGCCCGAATTCATAAGTACCAATTGCTCCACATCGAAAAGGTACTGCAGTTGATGCGTAACCAAAATAACAATTTTGTCGCCCAGGAACTCAGTAATACAGCGTTCGAAAATATGTTTTCCAACATGTGTATCCACCGCTGAAAGTGGATCGTCCAGTAAATATACGTCCGCCTTATGGTAAATCGCTCGCGCCAGATTCACACGCGCCTTTTGACCACCACTCAAACTCACACCACGTTCGCCGACAATTGTCAGATCGCCATTGATCATTAGTTCCAAATCGCGTTCAAGTGAACATGCTTTTATGACCTTCTTATAACGTCTTTCATTGTACGAGTCTACAAAAACGATGTTGTCGCGTACGGTGCCTTCAAAAACCCATGGCTCTTGCGCCGCGTAGGACAGTTTACCGTTGATCACAATTTGTCCAGCATTAATCTTCACCTCACCGAGCAACGCATTCAGTAATGTCGACTTCCCTGAACCTACGGGGCCTACTATAGCAACGAGTGCTCTTTCTCCGATATTTATATTTATATCCGAAAGCGCTGCGTTGCCTTTACCATCAGTCGGCTCAATCGCATCCCATGTGGCACTAACATTACGAATATCGACGCCCTTTCTTTCCGCATGTTGATGTATTTCACGGGTATTAACGATATTCAAGAATTTGTCGCCTTCACTCACATTACCGTTAAGTTCCGCCTTCTCACTACTTCCGTTATTATTCCTTTTCTCAGAAAGTTTCTTGTCACTTTTCAGTACAGGAGTTGCCGCCGCATCTCCGTCTTGCAGGAATTCTTGCACACGTTTCGCCGATACCGTCGCTTCAGAAACAAATGTTATCGCCAACGGCCAAAAATGCACCATTGAATCGTTTAGCATGTTAAAATAGGAAGACACTGTGTACACCCGTTTCGCTGTTAAAGAGTCGCCGAGATAAATGTAGGATACCAATGCCAGGAAAACCGAGAGAGGTGATATCATCGAAGTGCAACTAAGGGCGGCATGAATATATGAAGTACCCTTTATCGCCCTCACCTCTTTGAGACGTATATCCGCAATTAGCTTAGCGAACGAATTCTCCCACGCATACATTTTGATCACCTGAATGCCCTGAATAATTTCATTCATCAACTTTACACGCAAATCCGTACGTTCCGCAGTCTTTCGCCGGTAGTGGGCAGCCTGTTTACCAACATAAGCTTGCAAAGGTATAAAGCTCAACATGAACGCCACACCAATTACTGCTGATATACCGATCTCTCGATACATGAGATAGCCAATAAGTAGTGACTCTGTCGGTCCTTTCCACAAGTCATGCAGAAAGGCCAATGCCACATCGAATCGTCCAACATCGTTAGAGAGAATGTTTATAGCACGACCCCGGAGACCGTCGTTGCTGGCGTTTTTCGAGATTTTTAAACACTTCCGGTATATGAGACCAGATAAGCCGATTCTAATTTTAGTGCCAACTTGGAAGATGTAAAAAATGAATGGATGAAATGAAAAAACTGGTATCACAGAGCATAGCACAATGCCGGCAGCAAATTTGTAAGCATCCAATTCCGTTATCGATGTTTGACCTTCGGCGAAGTAGGCAACAAGACTACCAAGCAAAAGCGGTTGTATAGCCCTGAAATAGCCGAAAGTGTCGAAAAAATAAGTGATTATTGCGATGTGGGAATTTCAGATATTCTAATATACTCACTTGCAAATCGACTCGGTTATGGAATAAAGAACACCAAGTGGTAAAAATACTAATCCATAAGAACGTCCTATCACACGCAATATACTGGGCTTTTGGCGCATACGCTCCTCCTCCCAGAGCTTGCTGAACTTATCGGTAAGTCGCTCGCTGTCCAACGATTCCCGATTCTGATATATATCTTCTTCTCTAAGAGGACCCTTCAAGCCCAGACGAAAGATATCTCTCATCCACCTTTTAAACAAAATATATGCATAGTTATGTATATTTTAAAATAAATATTGTATACTAGGAAATAAAGAAAAGAAAAGTTATCTCCATTGCAATATTTTGTAACCGTTATCTGTCAAAATTCAATCTCTAAACTACAGAGGTTAACTAAACCAAAACGAAATTTCTAAATTCGAAAATTCCGAGAAATAGAATTTGAAAAAAATAATAATTAATTGAGGTAGCATTATCTTAATTAATCTTGCAGTGGGATTATGGCATAAAACTGATGGCTTGGAAACATTATAGGTAATTGTTCCTTTAAATCATTAATTGTTCGACCTACGAAATATATTTAAAAAAAAATAATAATCTGTATGGAAATGTATAAATATATGTATATGCAGACCTAAAAAATTCTATCGAAATAGTAATCTGGGATATGATTCTTAACCCTACTTCAAGGCAACCATAGAGTGTGAGTAAAACCGGTTGAAGAGCGCGAGATGAGTTATTGGACACATACATTTGTGTGCATGCAATATAAAGAGATGCCAACCTGATGGCAGAGGGCAATGAACCCAATTAATTGTATTTTGAAATCATGTAAGTACAGCCTTGAGTTTGTAAAATTGGTTTTTATTATTCAAATGTTTATAATTTTAATTGATAATAAAATATCTTTGTATGTATATGCATATGTGCATTAAGGGTATTCATACACTACAAAAACCTGTGTATTAATATATTTTTTTTTATTTTAAATTAATCATTTTAATGCATTGAATTTAATAATTTTGCAACTTACTTTATTTTTAGAATGTTTCGGAAGCATTGCTTTGGTTATATATAGATATATATACAGATATATATATATAGTCACAACAACTTAAGTCTAAAAATCGTATCAGATACAAGTTTTGTGTGAAAAAACTGTTGTGCTGTAGTTTTTGAACATATGTTTAACCCAATAAAAAGTTGCACTATTTTTAGGGACAAATTAGGGGAAAAAATGGTTTGCTGTCTTGCACTTAAGATGTTTTTTAAAACTATGTACATAAATAGTTTTAATTTTATCATATGCCTTTATATCTGGGAAACCATTCAAGCATAAAAGCTTCAGTAAACAAATATGTGATTTATTTAAGTTTTGTAAACATTGAGTGTACATATGTTGGCATGAGATTTTAGAGAAAAAATTCTCAGTAACCGATTATATATATCAAATTATCTGTACATATAATATTACTTCTCTGTTCCGTGACCTAATGAGCGGTAACAATTTTTACTGAATTTCACTGAATCAATTTTGACATTTCGTTATTGGCTAATTCTTACTGACAGTTCTCACCGAACAAAGCTATTGTGTCGTAGAATGTATTTTCCAAGTGTATGGACGTTGGAAAGTAAACTTTTCCAAAAAAAAAAAACGTAAAATTTGCATGGATAAAAATGTGCATTGCAAGAAAACGAACGACGATATAGTCACGGATACGTATTTACATATGTATGTATATACTTAAAGTTATGGTAAACAAAATAATTAATAAAAAAAGATCCCCATTACAAACTTGTCTCTTATTTTACTTTCAGAAATTGAACAACTTTTTAATATACTGCATTAGGTACTTGGAGTGCTTTTTGCAAGAACAGTAAAATCATTTAGTCTTGCTTTTACATTATAGGATAGGTCTTAGGATCCTCAGTGGCGTTACAATGGGCCTGGTTGGGGCCTAGGTGAGCTGAAGCTCGCCAGCCACTTCAACCAACAAACCAACCAAGTGTAGAGTAATGCAATACGCGAAAAAAGGGAAATCAATTAGTTTTATTTTATATTATATTTGCTCAAAAAAAAAACATTCACTTGCATAACGAACTTATGACGCGTTTTATATATCATACATTCACTAATGTTGATAATTATTATTGCTCATAAACATAACTAATTGAATAAAAAAGGGAGAGAAATCATGAAAATTATTAAATAAATAAAAAAAAACAACAAATAAGGCATTGCTCTTAACAATGCGGTCATGCAGAAGCTCTTTCCCATTCACTACCTACCGACAAGGTTACAATTATTTTTATTTTTTTTTATCTAAACACATTTTCCAACCGATTCTTACCAGAAGCTCCAACGTGAGAAAAGATTTACCGTTGTATATGGATTTTTTGGACGCTCAATTTTTTTTCTAGTCCGGTTCATGATTTAATATTATTTATTGTAGTAAATATAAAATTAATTTATTTACAGTTACTAAGTTTAATACTTTTCGATAACACAAAATATTATATATAACGATTTCCACTTTTATTTCAAAACTTATCACAAATTTTACGTAGAATTATTAGCTTCTTTATATCTATTCTCTTCAGTTAGTTTACGTATTTTTCTATTGCACTTATCACTTTCATCAACGGGAAAGAAATGTGCTCATTCAAAACGCGTCTGCAATTACCGAGCGAACCCTATGATTTTGTTTATCAAATAATCGATAATTCAAATAGTGGCAGTAATTGTGTCAGAGACTCCGAAAAACAGCAAAAACACAATTATTTGAAATCAGCAGCAACAGCAGCAGCAAAACAACAAGCAGTACTCAAATATAAAAAAAAAAAAACGAAAACAAATACGTTCAAAGTAAACGTGTAACACAATGTTGTTTCCCTTTGATTTCTTGTTTGTCGGTTCGTGGGCAGATTTATAATTTTTTGTGCGCTAGTTATTTTTTAATTTTCCTCTCGTGTGGCGTCTGGCGTCTGGCGTTCGGCGAGTTGATGATACGTAAATGTAATAACGCGCTGAAAAAGCGCTATTCACAACAGCACGCAGCACGCGCACAAAACTAACTGAATCTCTTGACTCTCTGCAATGGGAGTTTTAGAGGGGATGTTTGACTTATTGCGATACACACATACATGCTCGCATAGCCATAAACACGCGCCGACATTTATATGTATATGCTTGCATTCATCTGCTTTGAATATTGAAAAGCACTTAAATAGGTTCAACTGATTTCCAAAGCTATGCGATCACGACTGCTCTGCACCAATTACAGTGTTTATATTCCCGTGAAGCCTTTGAGCTCAGCATACAGAAATGCTTAAAATGGATAAATTACGAGGACAAACGTTCGATTTTTTTTTATATTGTCACAGTAAATTGTTCCAAAATCTTAGGGATTGAACAAAAACCACGCCGGTTTAACAGTTACATTGAAAGAAAAGCTAAGTAGTTTTCTTCAGATGGGCAAATATTTATAAAATCACTCGTATAATAGATTTCACTCAATAACTGTGTTATTAACTTTAACAAGATATTTATTAAGTCGGTGAAAGTTATATGTACATACATATGGCGCTTTGTAACCGCTGAAGCGATTTTCAGACCAGCACATCCACCGATTTGTAGTGTTTGTCTTGTTGTTGTATGAAACAAATGGAATTGTGCAACCACGTTGCAACGGCCATGAGAGGGAGCAGTCACAGGAAATACCACGTTGAGCTACATGAAGGGAGAGAAGACTCGTATAAGGAATAAAATATGACTATAAGGACAGTCCCTTAGTATCAATAATGTAAGCATAAGTTTCAGTGATTTTTATAAATGAAAGACATTAATATGCCTATAAGCACAAACATTTTTTCCACTTTTCGGAATGATTTACAAGATCATAATTGGACTTCAAAAAAAAATGTATGCAAAACTTAATAAAACAACTTTCGAAACCATTGGTGAATTTTTTTAATCTATCAAGTGTCTACCTACAAAAATTATCAAAATTCGACTTAAATGCATTTAACTTAACATCCCATAGAGAAACATCGCTGTTGCATTGTTGCTTAGCTGTGTTAAGCGCAGAGAATTATGTATGCATATGTGTATGAAAAAATCAAACATGCCAAGAGTGTATAGAGTTCTCTTTTATAAATATTTGTACTCTTAAATAATGACACAAACACTCTTTGTAGCTAATGAATATTTTGAAATTATGGTAGGTCGGAAATGTTCAAATATATAATTTCACAAAGAACTGCAATTGCAAGTAGTCTATACAAATACATACCTATGTATGTATGTATATCCCAAAAGATTGCTGGCTAAAAACAATAAGTCTGAGTTTACATGAGGATACTTTTGTCGCTTATTATTGTAATTTTCTTCACGTTCACAGAGACACTTTGTTCAAGTAATTTTTTTGACATTTGTTTCTTCTTTTTTTCCCCTATTTCGCTTTATTTTTCACTGGCAATTTTTCGTTCGCTTCGCGCTTTTTAACATTTCTAAAATAGAATCACTGTGTTTGTGTAAAGTAAGACACGGCTTTTATTTATCTACTTCTTTTATATATTTTTACATTTGATTAAACATCAACTCTACCCTTTCAAAAGCTTAATCTAACGTCATATCTTATTCTTTTCACTATCATCAAAGTCAATCTCAGCGGATTCTTCAATATTCTCTAATATTTCTTGCAATAATTCAACTTTGTCTGCAAACTGCATTATCTGAAATATTTATTCACAATTCCAATTTCCAAATTTAGGGCATATATTCATATGGTTATGCTTGCGAGTTTTACTACCCGAGTAGAATAAAACCGAGTAGAAATGGAGCATAAATGTAGTAATATTCAGGTCTGCGAATTATTTTTACAGAAAACAGTAGTCCTGTGAGTTCTTCTTTCAAAAAAATTGATTAAATTTCCGTAAGGAGTAAAAGTGCCTTAGGAAGGTGAAAAGTTAAAAATTGTCAAAATTTTGATGAATTTCTCAATAAAGCAACATTTCAACAAAGGAAACAGCTGTTTTGCATGTTACCAATTAACAAAAATTCTATCAAGGATGCCAGACTTATACTCTAATATTCGATTAATTATACTCCGTTATACTCTTCGTAAAGGTAAAGGTCACACACAGGCGTCTTTTTACAGGCAGAAAAGCCAACTCTCATGTCTTCTCAAATTATTCGAATTCTGGTATATAAGATGTATCCTTTTCTCCATCGTAAAAAAGTGATACCAGAACTCCAATACGGTTCATGGTACTGCAGAACAAGTCGACCGAATTGCTGAAAAAAATTAGGGAGATATTCGAATTCAAAGAGTATTGGTGTGCAATATTTCTTGGCGTAACATAGCCGTTCGACAAGGTTTGCCACTACCCGAAATCCATACAATTCTACAATATACATATGTACATATTTCGACGAATCGTATTTATCACTTAGGAGTTTCTAGCAAAGGCTGGTGTTCTCTAAGCAAACTTAGTTGAGACTATATTATACATTACATACACACACTGCAGATATACCAGTAAATCAAAAAGTACAAACATCCATTTTCTCTGATGATACAGCCATATTATGCCTGAATATGCCCTTGAAAAGGATCGAAAACGATTGCGGACCACTTACGCCTCATCGAAGCATGATTGGCAAACTTAGATAACGCTTCATGCAAATCCACTAGAAATTCTCGACTACAGCGTAGAGATGCTTCCGCCTCCTAATGAAAGTGCCACTATTTAAGAGGGGCTCGAGTAAACTCGAGCTAAGACATTTTTAATTTAGTTTCAAGATTTTGTGTACTTACTGTTTGACTGAAATTAATTTAAGCATATTCAGTAATAAATAAATCAGCTTTTACGGAATTGGTTTGTAGAGCAATAAGTTTACATTATTACGCACAAAATATGTAACCTAATTGAGTTATGGACAACTTTATTTGATATTTAAAAAAATACTTTCTGTAAATCGTATCAAAAGATTTTCGAAATAAATCAACAACCCCTCCGCCCTTTTTCGCGCCGGTTCACATCAGAGTTTTTCGAAAATACATTAACAATATATCACCCGAAATTTTCAATATTTCCCTTATTATACAATGGAAAGCAATTTATTCGTAAATTCTTACAAATTGTTACATATCAATGATTCTGCTGATAACGAATTCCCCAAACTATCAGACTATGTACGTATGTACGTATGCATGTACAACTAACAACAAATGCAAAGGCGTTTTTATTGATCGGTAAGAGCGAACAAATAATGAAAATTCCGAATAATTCAGGAAAACCTTGAATCAAATATGTGTGTGTTGTTAATTCAAAACTGTTGACTGTTCATTCACTTAAAATTAGATACAATGTTAGCTTGGCACATGAGTTTTCAACAGACCTCTTTCTAAAGAGTAGGTATAAGAATCTCTTAATTCTCTTTGATGCCCGCAAGCAGCTCTGTAAATCTCTAAATTTCAGATTGATAATTGTTGTGAAATTCGCTTTGTAATTAAGTTTTTTTTCTTACAATTCTAACAATATTTATTATAGACTAGCAAAATTACGTGCAGGGTTCATCCCACGGAAAAGAAAACTTTTCCAAATCAGGATAAGCTGCTAAGGCTTTCGTCATAATTGATAACCATCATTGCACTGAAGCAGAAAAAGACGATATTAAATTAAAAGTATATATAAAGCGGTTTTTTCTTTCGCAGTGCCCATTGCTTGCAAAATATATACATATGTATGTATGTGTGTGTGTAGAATTTTCAAAATGTGTTTATTAGGATGTCGCGTCCTTGCAGGAGGTATAACAATTTACGTAATTAAATACAGATTACAGAACTGCCAAAAAAATTACATTTAAGAATTATCTTGAGGGGTCCACCGGTCTTTAGAGTTTTGGAAATTTAACATATTTCAGGCCGCGTTTCGAAACAAAAAAAATATGCAAACTTGACATTCATGGTTTGAATACCCTACGTTTCAACTTACCTTGCTCACGAATGTGGTCCCTGTCATCCAAAAACATGCTTACGAGAAAATTTTCAGGATACGCAAAATAAACATATTTTTCGATCACAGGATCTTAGATAGCTAACAGACTATCAGGCATGAGTCGAGAATATGTAACGATTTTAAATTTGGTTAAAGTATATAGAACGTAGTTTACAAGCACCTGCAAAATATCTGTCGGATTAGGTGCACTTACATAAAGTCTGAGTAAGCGATTGGCACGGATAAGCCATCTGTTTACCAGCTCAAAAAAACGTTTACCAACTGATATGGCTTGACATATCTCGAAGAGATATTTTTGATCCATACTTAATTTATCAGCCACCGTGTTAGGCAAATCAGGCAAATTACCAGTTACTGCACCAAAAGACACAATGCTTTTATTTACGCAATTTCCCATTTATTTTCCGATATGCCCGGAGTATTCTGTGGGACCTAAAGTACAACCATCTAAGGCAAAACTAAATGTCTAAGCATGAAGCAAGCAAACATACCATTATAATGGTCTTCGTAAATATATATGTAATTGGCACTATGTAACCGCAAGAGCGATTTCCGGCCACTTTTACGTCGTGCTGTCTGTACAACAAATGGAGGGACTTACAGTTTATACCACGCCGCCTCCGAACAGCTGATAGTTTTTTATGTGGAGCTTTATTTCATGTCAGAAATACACTCGGAGCGGTTGACATTCCCTGGCGAGGGGCGATCGCAATTAGAAAATTTAACTTAATTTTTCTTTTAAATTAATTTTCTTACGGTGGATCTTATTTTCATCGACGACCAGGGTTGGGTCTTCGGTGGAAACTAAGCCGACGATTGCCAAAACTGCTGAAGCAATACCATATCGGTCACAAACTTTCGCAACTGCTGGCAACGCCAAAGTATTCCGATTCACCGCAGAAGTAGATGCTGTCTCTTGCGACGTAACTCTAGATGGAATGTCTTCCGTTGTCGGATGTGTTACTGGGGAAAAATTCCTAATTGAATCTTCATCACTACTTTTTGAAAGAACACCGCTTTCTTGAAGATTTTGAAATGGAGGTATGAAAATTTCGAAATATGATTCCAATAATTGAGTGATTCGTTCGTTCGTTACTTGGAAATTAAAGCTTTAGTCCAAATATTGTTCGTTTCTTTAGAGACAATTGAAAAAACTTCTGAATTAGATGGCTCTTTTACATTGTTTTTCAATTTTAAGTCGTTCTTGACAAATAAGATAAATTTAATGACCTGTCATATAGTTAGTAAGTGACGATCGTCACTACGCCTTGAACTCATATTTAAAATTACTTCAGTAAGTTTCGAACACTATAAAAGTAACAGTAGTAACCCTATTTATATGCAAATAACAGAAAGTGTTCGAAAACGTGAAAATTTGATGGTGAGCTTTGCCGAAACTGAAAAAAAAATGGTCACTGTTTACAAAAAGTCTTATATGTAGTGTTGTTATTATGTCCGAATGGTACATAAAGTTGATTTTTAAACGATCGAACAAAGCGTATGTCAGGTATTCATCGTTGAATTTTCTGAGATAAAATAATATTGTTATCAATTTCATCATTAAACGTTCTCATAATCAGATATATGTATAATATGTGGGTTGAGTATGTACAATACAATATATAAATATGATTGTAATTTTTGATAACAATTTTACGATTCTAAGCAACTAAATAATATTTACATTGTTGTAAACTTGTAGTTGCACTCACTACTTGACAACTCTGGTTCAACTTTCGTTAAAAAACTCTTTCAACCTACTTCGTACATTTGTGCGAAATCTTTTGTCTCTACCTGTTGTTTTTTTTCTGGTTGTTCTGCAGCTTGGCTAACTCGGTTCAATTAAATTTTTCGACGGCAACTCGACTACAACAAGCTAATCACTAAGCTTTTCCCCACTCAAAAAAAGTTATTAAAAAGAAAACTTCACTTAAACTTTTTTTTTAACTTGGGGAAAGCGTAGGTTTTTAGTTTCATCTTCTTTCATTAAATTGGAAAAAGGACAACTTCATATAACTTTTAAAAGTATGGCTTTATTTTTCTATGTAATTTTATACAAATATTAAATATAATAGTAATTCGTACATATACATCTGCAAGTATTTATTTAATTTATTTATGCATTTATTTGTATGTATAAAAGATGAAACATCAGATCGCACTTAAGTAAAAGAGAAAAAAGAAAAAAATAAAAATAATTTAAAGAACGTCCCATTGACTAGAGCACAAGGTGGGAATTGTGGCGATAAGCTCAGCGGGAGGATGGAAAAATTTAGCAAATTTAAATTAAAAGAAAAAAAATCATAATAAAAAATATTAAAATCAAAATTAGTGAAAATTGCTTACTAAAAGATATTCGCGGATATTTAAATTATATTACAGCACCAGCCTTAATTGGATGAAAGCAAATTCAATATGGATTTACTCAACTGCATTAAGGCAATTAAGATAGCTTACATGGAACGATCTCAGGTGATTTAGTGGCAACCAGATATTTTTTCAAGAGATGCCAATTATACAAAAATAATATTTTCCTCATCAAAATGCTTTTCATTCTTGACTAATTGCATTTTCATTAATCATAATTAGTTTAGCAATTAATAATGACCTGATTAATCATCAGCTTTCTTTGTTATTGTAGCACATTGAAATTTTTTCAACTTGGAATTATTATAGTACACAATTATATGGAGTAGTGAAAATTTTTAATTGGAAACCAACTTTACAAAACGGAATAATTTTCTTTCGGTACAAAGCTTGGTATTAATTTATTTTTATTTTATTTTTCATTCAACGTTGCTATATCCGCTCAGAACGTGTTTAATTAAATCATTTTTTCATTATAAAAAATTATATAAGAATTTCTTCATCGCACATCCCCAGTGTAATTTTGAATAAAAAACAATAAAATTTTTCATAAACAAAGTAATTAAAAATATTTTCAGTTTCTTGTTAACGTTTTCGAATAATTCAAAAGCTTTCTTTGTATCATTGTACAATGCTAAGTGATCAATCAATATGTATATAACCTCTAACTAAATTTTTTTTGCTTATGCGTGTTTTTGTGATTTTTTTTTAAGTTTTTCTTTTTGATTAATGAATATTTACATATGCGTATATGTGTATGTTTATAACTTTTAAAACTTACAAACTTTTCTAAATTCATTTAAGTTAAAATTCGTTATTCATTCATTCATTGTTTTATGTATATACAGTTTTGCTTTTTGCTGCTTATCCGTGTCCTTAACTTGGTTTTGATTATCTTACAAATTTTAAACTTAAATTTGAGCATTTTCAACCAAACATTTGTTGCTTCATTTTTGCTTTTTTGTTGATGTGTTGTTTTGTTTGTTTGTAACTTATATAATAATTTCTCATAAAAGTTTGTACACCCTCATAAGCCTCTACCCTAACGCACTCCGAACTTCGAAGCATTTTCAAAGGATTCTGCACTTTTGACTAAATTTATTTGTTTCACTATTTTTTTTTCTTTTTATACTCGCCGATCGCAACTCGTTTACTGCTGCTCCTCTTGCTAGTAGAATCTCTCCACTTTTGGCTTATTAAGTGCACAAAAATAATACCCTGAATAGTTTTGTGATCCGGGTGAAGTGTAATCGTTGATGCCATAGCTGCTATAATCGTAATTACTGTTTGGTATGTGCATGTGTGGGTGATTATGGGTGTGGGCGTGGGTGTGCGAGTGTGGGCCATGGGAAAGGTTGTGAGCACCGTGGGAGTATGGAGGTGGGTAGTAATGCTGAAATGCGGCGCCACTTCGCGCCTTTTGTCATGTCAACAAGTTGCTACCGCCGCCATTGCCATTGTTGCCGGCGCTATTCTGGTTAGTTCCATGCACGCGCATATGGCGATTTAAGTTGCCCGATTGCGAAAATCTGGAAAAAAATTCAATGAAATTGTAAATAAATTTATGGAGTTTATGGGCATCAATTCATTGTCTGCATACGGATATTTCCGTGCAATACCATTTGGCTCCACACCTCATATGTTTTTGAAATTAGGAGCACTCAGTGTATAGATCCCACGAGCCTCTTCTAGAAGGCAGAACTAGCCTTAGCCTCTGTGTTACACATCATTTATTTGTCTTTTATGTTTGCTTGGACACCATTCTCACCGTGAACAACCGATATCACTAATTCTTCCCCCAAATAATCTGATTTCAAAAACCGCTCCCATTTAATTACTTTTCTTTTTCAATTGGCAAACTTTTTTAATAAAGAAAAATAAAAATTAAAAGTTTTTTTCTGCTCACTAACCGAAGGCTAAATCACTGGCGGTGGTAGCAAGAATGCATAAATAAAAAATATATATATTTTGTTAGAGTAAAGACGAGATTCAACAAATGTAATTTGTTTGCATAATTTTGTGAAAAGGAAGAAAGAACAAGCGATCATATTATGCGGCAACTTCACCTTCTATAAATTCGCCTTGACCTAGATGAGAATATAATAATCTTCCGGTAATTTTTGTGAAAAGGTTTTCCATGTTGTGGAAGATCAATTGTCAAAAATGTCCAAAAAATGAAGGAATCTTACTGTGATGTGAGCACTGGCACAAAAAACAGTTGGGAACCACTTGAAAATGACGGGATACACAAAGAAGCTCGATGTGTGGGCACGGCATGAGTTATCGAGAAAAACCTAATGGACCGAATTTCCATCTGCTGAATCGTAACAAAATTAACCAGTTTTTGTGACGGATGGTGACTGGTGATGAAAGTAGATCTCATTACAGCAACGTCAAACGAAAACGGTCGTGGTCGTGGTCGAAAGGCAGTAAGTCGGCACAAACAGTCGTCAAAGCAGAATTGACTGCCAGAAAGGTGTTGTTGTGTGTTTAGTGGGATTGGTAAGGAATCATCCATTATGCGCCAAGTGCTGCTCGTCAAGAGCCTCCCAGCTTTGAGCAACAAGAAGAGAATTGTGTTTCATCAGGACAATGCCAGACCACCTACATCTGTAGTTACTCTCTAGAAGGTCCCAAAGCTTGATTGGCAGATTCTTATGGATCCGCTTTATAGCCGAACCTCGCAGCAAATGATTTACTTCTATTTCTGTCCCTGGCGAATGATTTAGCAGATGAGAGCATTGTCTCGTTTTTTGCTGAAAGTGAATTTTTAACATTTTCTTAATATTTTGGTATGACCATATCTTGTTAAGGCACTATACATGACAAGGTGAAACTTCCCTTCCATTCTCAATATTGACATTGAAAAGATTTTGCATTCAGAAATACCATGGCAAATGCAATTAAACCCCCACGGCCTACATAACTTGCCCACAAAGACTCCTAACTGTGTATTCCCATACATACCTGAGCAAGCACAATTTACATTGATAAGGCTTTTCGCCGCTATGTATGCGCAAGTGTTTTGTGAGCGTGGAACTGTCCGAAAAGGATTTCTTGCACGAAGAACAACGGTAGGGTCGTTCGCCCGAATGGGTGCGCATGTGCGTGGTGACGCTGGAACTTTGTGAGAAACGTCTATCACAAATTGGACAGCGGAATGGCTTCTGTCCGGTATGTGTGCGTACATGTGCCGTTAAATTGGCAGCCTGCGAAAAGCTTTTATTGCAATCCGGACATCTTCATAACAGAAACATGTAGAGAAATAGAAATTTAAAAATTAGTACAATGTGCAACAACTAAACAAATATTCTTACCTGTAAGGCCGTTCACCGGAATGAGTTCGCAGGTGTGTTTTGAGTGTACTGGGGCGCGCGTAAGTCTTACCGCAAAGCCTACATAGGTTCGGCTTCGAGTCGGAGCCCTCCTCGTTGCTATCCTCATCGTCATCGTATGGGCTCTTTGTTGGTGATGCAAAGGCGGGAGTTAGCTCTGTGCCGGTGTTGAAGAGATGGCGCGATGTGTCACTTGTTGGTGATGGCGAGTCTTCCTCAACTATAACGGCATCTGTGAGTGTGGGCAAAACACCAGCGCCTGGACTTTGACTGGACTGCTGCAGTGTTGGCGTGCGAAAATCAGCGGTGAAGGAATATGTTGCCGCAGGCGGGTAATGTGTTGGGCTCAAAAGTGGCGGGTACAGAACATTCACTGAGGAGTTTGTATTTGGTGGCGTCCACTGCATCTATGTGTGGCATATAAGAATCGTAAGGTTAAGAAAAGAATTATATTACTAACCTGTGAACACTGCATGGGCATCGTACCCTCCGCACCGTAGCCGTGCATGGTCATATTCATGCTGACGTTCACACTCATGCTGGGATACATTGGCGGTGGTGGTGGAGGTGGCGCACCGCTTGGGCTCATATGTTGACTACACGCAGCACCGACAGACGCCGATCCACCTATCATGCCGCTACTACTGGGGTCATAGTAGCATGCCGCCTGAGTAGCGCCAGACCCGAGTGAATTGCCATGTATGGTGGACTGCGTTTGACTCTGCGCGTGATGCGAAATTTGACTGTTGGGCGACACGAGCATCTGATGCGGGTGGACGGTGTATGAGAGCGAAGCTTGATGCGGATTTGAAGAGAAATTGTACGAGGCGCCGCACGGTGAGAAGGGAAAGAGACTAGGCAGGGGATCGATGTCTAACGGCGGCAACCCAGGAAACGACGAAGCCATCTCATCAGTGCTCCAGTAATTAATCGTATTATTACTGCTGCTATTGTTGTTGTGGTTGTTGGCGGTGTTATTGTTTATACTGGTGTTGTCGGACAAACCAATCGATTCTTGTTGTAAGTGGTTTTCCGTGGATCCAACAATACCAGCATCGGCTATAACGCTGTTCGCCGTCGTATCGAAGCAGGAGCCGCAGTCGAAGTCGTTGGACGTGAGCGCTGAGATAGGTAAAACGGTATTGCCTTGGCAAGATAAACACCCAACACAGGAAGAAGCAGCACACTCTTGCTACGGGGAGACGAAATTAAAGAAAATGAGAGGAATTAAATTAAAATAAAAGTGAAAAAAGAGGAAACTATAACAGCGTTTTGATGGCGTCGGTGAAACATAGAAGGACGTTAGCTACAATCTTTTGAGATGAAACAGCCTTTGATTGAAAAAATTAATGTTATTTAGACATGTGGTTTTCACTCAGGCAAAACTTTTTTCAGAGTTGGATTTTTGACACCAGCAAACTGATTTATACTCATTTTGGTTCTTTATTTCATAAGAAAAAGACTTGTTCTGAAAGAACTGCAAATGGGGCAAATCTAGTACCAAAAAAATGGGACCAATATTTAGTCAACATAAGCGCTCAGCAGAGTCAGTAGCTCGAGCAATCATGGATCGGTTTCACACCACGTTTTTGAATAATACTCAGCCTCAGAACATCGAAAAATACCCAAATGAGTCCATCCGCCATCACGTGCAACAATTGGAGCCGTACTCATCCACTTTATGGAAGATTTCGCGGAATTATCTCAATTTGCGGCCTTACAAACCCAACTCGTGCCAGAATTGAAGTCGAGCGATCATCAAGAACCAAGTTGTCGCAATTGGAATGTTAAAGTAAACAAGCTGTTGTTAAGACGCCGTTACATTCTCATAGAACCATTTTTTGATGTGATCTATTGGCAGAGGTATTCTTGGTAAATATTTCTTCAAAAATGAAGCCGGCCATAGTGTTACAGACCATGGGCTTTTCAATGAGCTATAGAGCGGTGACTAATGATTTTCTTTGGTCTGAATTGAAGGATATCGATGTGTTCGACCTTTGGTTCAAAAAACACTGCGCTACTTGTCATACAGCCAACGAAGCAATCTATTTGTTGAAGGGCAAGCCATTATCTTTATAATGAAGCTAAATACCTGGTCATAACATTAAATTATATTCGTTTTATTTCGATTTGAAAACCACATTTCTAAAAAAAAAAACTCTTTTATTTAAGCACAGCACCGCTAAATGTTTCAGATCTTTAAATTAAAAACATCGCTTTAAACTTTTAGAAAAACAGCAAAAACACTATTAGGAAAGGGTAAAGAAAAGCCCAAGTTTGGAAGACTAAATTCTATTTTACCATACAAATTTTAATTTGCAACCTATATATATATGTATATAGGGTTCATCAAATTTACGTTTTTATTGTGAATAATGTTTATTCAACTGCAATTAATATGTTACTATTTATTTTAAAATTTTTCGTCCTGAATGTGAACATTTTCAATTACGAAATGGCGTCGGCATTTCGAAATGAACTTTTTTTCATTTTTTTTTTTGCACTTCGAAACGAAACACCGACATTTAAAATTCTATGAGAAAATTAAAACAGAATTTTTCGAATTTGATTTTTATTCATTTTGTTTTTTTTTTCTTCTTTTTTTTAACCGCTAGTTGTTTTTATGATTGCTCTAGTTCTTATATTTGGGTTATTTTTCACCGTCACCGTACCTGCGGACTATCCAATGCCAAGCCGAATAATGGATTGTTGGGTACATATCCTGTTTCGGGTTCCACTGGACCGCCATTTGAGACATCGCACGATATGTACATAGCTCCACCCTCTTGATCTTCCAGGGAATCTGCAAAAAAGATTTGGAATATAAACATAATACATGAATACACCCAAACATACATATATATTTTACATATATTATACAACGTATGCTTTAGTTTTTATATGTATACATATTTGGGGATGTTGTGGGCATCATTTATCAGCCACCCTTCGTTGCAGGCGACAATACCTACATACATATATGTACAATATATACATACATGTGTACATCTGCAACTTTCTGTTAATAGTCAATTTTTTTATTTTAATTGGCACGGGTGATTCTATAGTCGACTTAATTTTCAGCATGTACATACATATATGTACATATGTATGTACACTACTAGCAACTTTTAATTTTTGTAATACCATTATTTTCAAATTTTGTTTGAATTAACTTACTTAAATATTCTAGAAGTTAAGGTTATGGTTCGCATAAAAATGCATAAAATATATTTAGTTTAACGGTATTGAATGAAAAACAATTATCTCAATAATATTTAATTAGTTTTTATAAGCTACGAACAACGGTTTTATACCACTGTAATTAAGCTCCGCCCCAAAAACATACCCTACAAATATATGTACGCGCATAGATATATATATGCGCACATGTATATAAAATTCTCCCCAGCAACTACAGCTTGTTGTTTCTGCTTTGGGTTGTTAATGATGCGAGCAATGCACCGGCGCAATAACAAACAGCACACATGCACACAACCAAATGTAAGCTGATTTGCCTACTGCCCCGCAGGGCTTTGCGAACTAATATTTTCTTAACATAATGACCGAATCAGATATATAATATGTCATCTAACAGGCAACTAAATTTTAATTTCGTGCCAGTCCTTGGTGAATTTGAAGAAATGATTTGTAAGTGTTTCCTAAACTGATATTCTATTTCGATTTATTTTTATGAATGAAGCATCTAGATTTCAAAGTATTTAAGAGAAAAAAATACTCCTCTCTAACCCGGTAGCAAGTCTTACTTTCTATAGTTAAGCCAGCTAAAATACTTATTATGGTTGTGTTTCGGCAGAGCTCCTCCTTCAATTTACAGCTTGCATCTAGATGAGTTTCCAGCAAATGGAGGGACATTCAGTTTAAAAAGAACTTTTAGTTCGTTTCGGAAATACTCGGCCAAGTGGCGATAAAAGTCTGGCCGGTGTTCGAGCCCAAAACCCTCCGCTTGGTAAAACGCACTGCTAAGCACTAAACCATTGCGGCCTGGTTGGCTTGTTTAAAGACTTTTACTGTCAAATTAATTCCTACTGGGTCGGCATTCGGGCACTTTGCTTTTTTACCAATGTATGTTTGTATATTATGGTCGTACATGTTTACAATAGATTTATTATTTCCGATCGACGCCGAACGGCCAAGGAGATTATATAATGCATTGCTAACCACTCGGTCACTCTTCTTGTAGGAATTATTTCAGTGTCTGTATACAAATGTTTGGAAATAATATTCCATAAATATAAGCAAGTTAAAGCAAGAAAGTGTACTGTCCTGCCTAAGTTTTATATATATATTATATATATATATATAAATAAACGTATGTATGTACTGGTAATGTGTTGAAATTTAATAAATTAATGCTCATTCCAAAGGAAGGTTGTCCCTAAGAATATTATTCCGTAGTATCTAGAATCAAGATTGTACCGCAAAATACTAAATTACTACAAATTCTACAAACTCGATTTTTCGAAAGTGAACCTATTTTATTTTATATATGTATATATTTCACTTATAGCAAGGCTGCATCGTAACGATAAGCTGCACGCTAATCAAAAAAAATGTCAATCGATTCGATTGCGACATTCGGCAATGTTATCGTTAAACAAGTTATCAAAATAAATATATTCTCTTAGTTTTTATTCGAAACGAAATGCTAAAGTTAATGTGAAATTGTTAATAGATAATGTTAGGCCTTAAAGTTGAAGTCTGCTGCTAATATCACAGTAAACAGAAATTTTAAAATTTGCGTTAACGATGAGCTTTAGCGGTTTCCGCATTAATAATTAAACTTTGATACTAAAGAATAGCGCCGAAAGGAAGCAAAATCATCTTGTTATGTTTATTTGTGATATTAACGAAGTGAAATGGCATCGTTTCGTTAGTTGAGCATCTTTGATTTATAATGCTCGATGAGATGTTTATTTCTATATATCATGCATTTAGGTAGAGTATTCGTCTTTGGGCCACCCTAACCCATATTTATATACACTCGAATATAAGTAAAAAAAAAAGCATGGCGGATCTCTTGGTATTCGCATTGATTGTTTGCTCGGCACAATGGCTGCTGGAATTTTATGAGCCCATAAAGGCAGCGACGCACGTCATAACAGGAAATAGTGAAATACATATGTACATACAAATAAACTTAAGGTGAAATAGGCATATAGTTAAATCGTTACACTCACCCAGAATTATATTCAAGAGTTTGAAACTTTTATATAGCAATCCCATGACATGATTCCTCCTCCAGGTAATGTGATTTGTTCGGTGATTTTATTTCTAGTTTTTCTACGCTTCATTTTACGCCAATTTGTGCCGCCTGCAAAAGAATATTCTTAATTTAACAAAAATTGCTTTTTGCTAGTGCAATTGCCGCATAGGAGCTTTTTGTAGTCGAAAAGTACTTCGGTTATAAAACTATAAGAAGTGAAATTATAAATCGCCCGGTTGCGGTGCGATTGCATTGGTCTCTAAAATATTATAAATAAAAATAATTTAAGTACACAAAAATAACAACAGCTTCACAAAAATATTATATTTTTAGTATTAAAAATTTCCTTGACAAAATTGTGTTTTGTTTGGAGTGATAAAAAAAAAACATTTCCCTTTAATAATAAATAAACTCTGCCCTTAATCCGGGCTACCATGAGCGTTTAAGAGTTTAAGAGTTAACGTCCCTTCTAACTTAACCAACCGGAATTTCTACAAACTACTATATTAAAGAAATTTTGCAAAAGATCTTGTTTTAAAAGGACTGCATAACAGTTGTAGGTCTAATGCCAGGCCAGAACCCACTGGCATCACTCGCGAGCATTACTAGTCAACACATGCCGGAAGTGTAGAAAGGCAAGTATGAATGAGCTGTTGGAACACCTTCTCTTACGTTATACACAGGACTAGAAGAATTTTTAAAATTGCATGTTAGGACCGTTTCGATCCTCGTCAAAAGCGTCGGCATCCCACACGACGACTATTTCACCTCGATTTAACTTAAACTATGAGCTGTGTAAGGCGTAGCTGCCAATATAACTTAACCTAATCGTTTCAAGATAAGATGGCGAAAAAATGTAACTGACAAACAAATTGTCTATAATACAGTTAGAAAAATAAAGCTTTTTGCATTGATCTTATAATATATATACTAAAATCAACTTTTCGTCGCTCTATTTTTTTTTAGTAATTTATATGTTTAGCTTACGTCATAATATTATATTTGAAATCCATTGCTCGATTCCAAGTCCGACCAATTAGGTTAAACAATTATAAGAAATTAATCTTTCTCATTGCGGTCGTGCTCGGCAGAGAATGCATAGCATTCCGAGTGTATTTCTGACATGAAATAAAGGCTTCTCATAAAACCTCTTCGACCGTTCCAAGGAGGCTGAGAGTAAACATTAGATCCCTCCATTTGCTGGAACAAGCATCAAGACGTACACCACAAATCGGGGGGATCTAGTCTGAAAATTGCTTTAGCGGTTATAAGCGCCAAATATACTCGTATATATATATCCAAATCCTGGACACACCAACACCCAAAATTATTGAACAGTTTTTTCTAGATGCGGGTAGTGTCAATGTATTGTATATCTCTGTATAATATATTTCTGGTGTTAAAATAGTGGAGTCTCTGAAAAATCTATTAACTGTTCGAAAGCTGTTTGACCCTCCATTTTCCAGAAAACTTAAAGACGAACCACATGATTTGGAGGAGGAATCGTCCGAAAAACAGAAATGTGAGCAATTGGTTCACTGATTTTGATGCTGATTTTGTCCTACAATCCTTAGAACCTTAGTAGTCCTACCAGCGATGTTTTTCCAATAAATGCACGAAATTTATGAAAAAAAAAACATATTATGTCCAAAGTTTATATCGGGCCTATCTATCAGCTTCCAACTAAATAAATTAACTCTAAATAAAACACTGTTATATGTACTTTTTCTGAGTTCAAATTCCACCAGAAGCTAATGCTCTTCTTACGTAAAGCTATAGTTATATTTATAAATCGGTTCAAAAAGGTATCGTGCTCATTATTTCAAGAAAATACTGCGATGCTGCAAATTTAAATAAATACAAAAATTCTTAACATTAAAAAGCAGCAGCAATTTGAACATTCTGCAGTAACAAAATACGGACCTAATATAGTAACCATTAATGAAAAAAATAGAAACATTAAACATAATCCTTGAAAAAAAAATTAAAAAAATTTTTTCAAAGATTGCGCTATTCTTGTCGTCCTCTGGCCTTCGTACCAGGAAATCCAGCTTATATTCAATTATAAATTTTTTAATATCGTCAAATGATTTATTTTCTATTAAAAAAACTATTTTCTCGTGAGCATAAAATATCTATTAGACAACATAAATAATTTTCGTTAACGCTCACCATCTTATGGAAAGTGTTCAAAATCCTTTTTCAGAAGTCATTAATCAGAACCATTTTTTTTCTTAAATTAACCATACATCTATTTCTATTTATTTGTATGTATATATGTATGTATGGAGGTATGTACAAATATGCCCCTAGTAATTACACCGATTTCATTTCCTGTCGAATTGCACGTTTCGCTAACTGTCGCAGCTGATCTTGTCTATTATCCTTTTCAGGGCATATTCACTCTAATTTTAACATCAAACAGTTCTGTTGATAGTTATTAAAATTATAACTATTCCGTTGCAGTTATTTTTTATTTTTAATTAAAAAATTTTTTTTTATTTAAAATCATTTTTTTACGGTAATTAATTATTTTTGTTACCCGCCTAGTGTATTTCTGACACGAAATTTAAATTCCTTATAATAATACATTAGATCTCGATTTGTTGGGAAACACATCTAGACACACCCTACGTATTGGACGAGGAGCTCGGCCTGAAATCACTTCGGCACTTGAACATTATAAGGTGTTCGCAGTTCACAGATGTAATAAAAAATTGTATTATCCCCCACTTCATACCTTTGAACGAATATCATAGTAATCATGGCCAAGGTGTATCCTTTGTGAGCGAAATGCGATTATTTACGAGGAAGATGTGTTTTCATTAAACTATTTAAATATTATTCACTAACAATTATTTTTTGTGCACAAAAGATGATAAATAACTTAAAACTTCTCATATGTATGTATGTATATTTAAGCGTGTATATATTTTCAGATTAATACGAACTTCTAATTAGTATTTACATATGTACACAATTAATTTTTGTTTTACACGAATCTTGAAAGCTTTGAGTGTGTAATAATCATTGCCCGGTACCGTCAACTCAAGACCCGCAGAGTTGCTTTTTCGGTTTGAAGTATCCTTTTTTGTCGAAGGCGACTTGTAACGTTGAACGGAGAACTGCAACTGAACCAACAAAGTCGGACGGTGCTGTGACATCCAATGAAGAATATCATCGAAAAGCTAAATAAAAGTGCCAGTGCGAGAACCGCAAAAAAAATATATACGTGTATATACATATGTATGTACAAATATATAGTTACGTACGTACACTCGTAAATGCATAAAAAATTAAATATAACAACCACTACAAGTAAAAACACGCGTTAAATTAATAGTATGGCGAGACAAAGGAAAAAAGTCAGAAGGCTAGAGGTAAGAAGAAGAAGAAGAAGAAGAAGAAGGAGAAAAGATATGCAATAAGCAACTAAAGTGACGGAACAGGAAAAAAATACAAATAAGTTAAGGGAGTAGGACCACCCCTTCCACGCGCTCCTCAGCCAGTTGTCTTCAATGAAGTGTTGATTATGTCTTGCTTGTTTTTGCTAAGCAGCACTACCCCCAACACAGCCAATACGGCAGCTCGACGGTAGTCGCATGTAGTCTGCTTACTTGTCACTCAATATCTGCTCATTACTTACAACATAACCTGCCTGCAATCAGAAAAAAATACACACACACCTTACATACATATGTATATACATATACATACGTGTGTGTGGTAGTTTGAGTATGTTTGCATGTACGAGTATGTGCAGAGCGCTTAAAAGAATGAGTAGCTGACTAAAGGAGCAATGATCGTGCTCATTGCTGTCACAATGCGAAATGCCACCAATAACCAACAAACCACCACCGAGGCGCTTAAATTATTTGAGGTTCCGAATGTGGCGAATGTTACGAATGTCTCGCCCTTTCATTTCGATATTCGACGACCACTACCAACACCCACCCCTTCTCGACCAAATTTGCTTTGCTCTCAATTGAAATGGACAATATGAATGTATGTGCATATATGTGTAAGTATAAGCCCATCCCCTCCTCCGCGGCAGTCAGCGTCATTGTGGTCAGTCGTTCACACCAAACCAATTGACTTGTACAATAGTTAAGTAGTAAAATAGCAAAATAGTAAAATAGTAGTATCTTTTAGATACATTTGAAATGCTGCTTAAAGCAATACTCAATAATAAATAACTCAATTCTATTGAAAATACGCCGTCAAACAGCCAATGAGCGCTTTGCTGAGTTTGTTGCGTTACAAACACATTAACACACATACGCATTTAAATGCAACGCTGTGTTGGTGCATTGGCAATCTTTTAGATGTGAATGTACTGCATTTCAATGCCGTTCACTTTTCAATTTTAATAGTTAATAGTACAATACAATATACGTCAACATACCCGAGCGTTTTGCTATCACAATATATTTAACTGAGTCACGGCTAGATTTAAGGATCTTCTGGGAATGTAATGGCGATGGACCTCACATTTCTGTTCGGATTTTGGCTTCGGTCGGCATAAAGCATAAAGCTTGTCACCAAAAAGTAGAGTGCAGATAAAATTCAGGGTTATACATTTTGCGGTTTCAAAGTAAACTTAATAAAATTATTGAAATTTCCCCCGAATTTGCGCAAACTTCTATCGGTTTGAAGTTATTTTCGACTACTTTTTGACATATGTGCATATATTGGGCGGTATCTCAGCCATAACTTGCCGAGTGCTGCTTTTCAATTACTAAAAACAGCATTTCGCGTAGCCAGGCAAAAAAAGTCTCCGTAGCCAATTGACAACGCCGTTGACCAGTGATTACGCGAGCAGAAAATTTATCTCACCTTGTTGCCACCACGAATTATCCAAGTTGTATTCTTCAATTGCTGACATTACACTACAATGTGGTCCCGTTAAGATCAACATTTCTGCAATATTAAATCTAAATTAAAAACTTTACTTCAAATAACATCACATTTTTTTAATGATTAAACAAATATTCCGTTCACCTTCGGCATGAAGAAAATGTCTATGTGTTTTGATGGGTCAAGCACTGGATCAATGGTTGTGATAATTTCATATTCTTGAGAGGTGTGAACAGCAATGAAACCTGAGAAATGGTGTCTTAGTAAGAAGACATAGGCCCATTGAAATATTTACGAATATTGCCAGAATGTCGAGCTGGGCTGGTCTAACTTTGTTTATCCTCCAGTCTCTTTCTTTGCTTGAGGATGAACTGGCTTCTTTGATTATTTATATTTGTACGACATTTGCTATGAAGGTGTATTATTTTATTTTTCTCATGATTCCGGCGAGAATCGATTTAAGCGTAGAATATTACATATATACATACGTGTATGTATACTCATGTGAGGTATAAAGACTTTAAAGCCTGACCGAAGTCAACACTTTTCTCTTATTTTATTTCTCTGCCTATATATATATGTACATTTCATCACACATACATATATACATACATATGTACATTTATTACATTTGATACTCGATCTTGCAATGCGGTTTACTAACAAACAATTATGGTTAATATGAAAGAATTGAAATTGCAAAAGTCAATTTCAATGTTTGTGCGAGTGTAAATATACTAACAGTAGACATTAATAATATTATGTGGCATAATTTAGCTTCCTAATCAATTTCTTGTTCCACGCATATACATATGTACATATAGACATGTATTTCATGTGCAGACATACACATACATATTTATAAAGCTTGGCACGTACCAAACGCTAAAGTTTTCATTTATTATGAATAATCGCTCTCTTCATTGATAAATTTGCATTATTTGGGAGATTCCTGCATTCATTAAAACAAAAATAACATATGTTTAAATTACACGGTAGTATACCCGTATGCACAAATATCTCATGTACATACATATTGATCGGGGTAAAATTTCACTTTATCGACTTTAGACATAAAATATGTTGCAACATTTTTTCTCACCTACACACATAACTACTTATTCAATGTAAAAAAAACATAATTACGCACACATTCACACATACTTGTACTTACATATATATGTACATGCATACATATATGCAGGCTTAAAGAAATTGGAATGTTGTTGAGACGCCGACCAGCAGTGTTAACAGTGTTGCCAGTGAGCAAAGTCACATACATACATACATAAATACATACATATGGTGCAGTAACAGCAAGTCGTACGACATGTATCCAATTACCAATAGATATACATAATATGTACATATATGTATATGTATAGATCAATATGTGTACATATGTACATACATATTTGCAATCAATGTATACATACATATGTACATAGAACTTTACATAAATTCGCATGAAAATATGAATACAATTAAAGAGAAACTAGAAGTCCCGGCTAGACGTCGCTGAGACTTTCTGGAAAACTGTCAGAAAATTCAGCCTCCACGACGAAATATCCTCTAATGGATTAAGGTTAATCAAGTTTGACGGGCCCCCAGCAGAAGAAAATTCATCACGCTACTTGTCTGTCTCCAGATCGAAAAACTCAAAACCAGCTTAATCATGTATGATAGAAGGACCTGCAACGAACTCCTGTCTGCCACAACAATGAAAACTCGACGTGGGCAAGCTGCAATCACAACAGACATCTAAACGGTTTCCTACTCGACTTGCTGTCCTGCTCTCTGATAGCACTCATCACCAAATCGGTATAAGGCGATTGTGGGTCGACATTTCGACCTCCCGACGTACAGATGCAAACGAATCTTTGGATTTTCGAAATTGTCGCAAAAATAGCTGATACGATGAGGATTGGCGTGCCGCAGTGGAGAGAAAACAGACAGCCTACCTCGCAAAGTTGCTATGGACCACTGCAGATGTGGTACTGGATAGATACTCGAATATTCTACGAAAAAATACAGCGACTCATAGAAGGTTCTACGACCGGAAAAAACTCTTGTACGGTTCAGAGTGGTGATCTAGTGAATTTATGGAAAGGGAACTCCAGGCCATGGTGAGCCCGGTTCCCCAATCGATGACGATTGAAGAAATGTTTCATTGAAGATAAAATATCAATTACTCACTTGAACAACAACAAAGCGGCGTAGCCGATGCATTGCCTGTGAAGCAGTAAACTGGACCTTATCACAGCGGCCTTCGACCTGACATCCACCATTCGATACCCAACGGGGTGTCACCCAAAATTGATTCTGGTAAAATTACCGTGTGTCTTCTTTAAGTTAGTGTTGGAGAAAATAATATGAGCTGCAGAACTGAACAAAGAATATCCAATCTTCTTCGTAGTTAACGTCGTCTAGCATAGAAGCAGCATTAACACCATCATAACAGTCTTGGACTGAGTATTGCCATTCAGAAGGGTTTGAATCCTGGTTCAACCAACAGCCATAAATTATATAGAAGATTTATTTAAAAAAAAAAGTTAATTTGATTTTTCGAATTGAAGTCGCCCTTCGGCAGTTACCGTTAAGTCTTCTGAGCAGCTCGTAAATCGCTTTAGCAGTTAGAAAACGCCTATTATATATAATAAATTTATATAAATATGTATATAATATAAATAATTAGTATTTCTAAATGCTATCGCCGTGGCAATATAAATATATAAATATGTATATATATAGGACGTTTTACTTTAGAAAATAAACTTCGTAATCAGCATTTTCATCGATCCCGAGTTGTAATCTCACACACATTTTTATTTCTTATTCAATTTCACTTTTTAGCTGAAAAACTACACAAAATTCTTGATTCCCAAGAAATGACATCGATACTTGTGTACCTTCTACAAAAGAAAAAATTTATATTGTGTGGACAAAATCGAAATTGTTAATTCCCAAGTCATCAACTCAACCGTCACTTAATCCGTTATGACAATCAGAAGCAAACACCAATAAAGCCGATGTTGCCGCTCTGTTGCATGATTGTTGCAAAGTGCACTTAACCCCATCAAACTGGTTCTAAGTTGTAAGTATGTAAGCACTTGCAGCTACAAGCTCATGGTCCGCTATAGATTACTCCTTAATGGTCACATGAGCACTCACAAAAAATTATCCTGGCGAGAGACTGTGATTTGTTGGTGATATGGCGCATGTTTTGTCACCCAAGACGCTGAATGGTCAGTTACCGTGTTGTTGTACTAGTGCAAAAAAAAATTGAAGAAAAA